TATATATTGCTCATACATCAATTGTAGAGCGATATAGAAATATCACTGTTATAATAGTGCTCAATACATCAATTGTAGAGTGATATAGAAATAAAAAAATTAATGTTGCAAAGTGTTTCTATTGCATACAAGTTTTATGAAAATCAGTTGAAAACTAAAGGAGATATATTGCATTTTCAACATTCAAGGCATTCTAATTTCAATGCTCCAGATTTGGAAAAAATTAAACACAAGTGGAATTATTTTCAATTAAAAGTCTCTGTAATGAGGTTGAAAAAAACAAATGTGAAATCAGTAGATAAAGATTAATACCTGACACAAAGGATGAGTTGGATCATACCAACACCAATATACTGTATAGGTTATATTAGTAATTTCAGTCAATGATTTAACTGGTAACCAAGTACCTATTATTCTCTCTGTATTATTAACAATCACCATCTGTATTGTAAAATTATCAACAGGTACCATCGCTGTAATAAGAAACAGGACAGTGATTAGGTACATGACAACAAATATAAGCTGATCTAGATAACTCAACAAATTAACATCACAATGCTGAAAATTATCATAGTAAAACAATGAGAAGAAAATGGACGTCATATTTTCATTCTGAATGGGCTATATTACTAAACTTAAGTCTTTTAAAATACACACTGGCTATTTGTACCGCCACGATGCATGTTTTTTATAGCTGCTTACAATGCTATGGATAAGATAGGACACAATAGGTGCGCTAGTTTTTGGGGTCTTTTTTAAAAGGTAGAAGCCATTTTGATGGTCAAGAATGATATTGAGTGACTTTGTTAGGGTTAGGTAGGGATGGCCATATGTTTTTTAATGACCATTTCTGTACCATTGTGGTACGGTTAGCTACGGCCTTTAAAATATCCCATTTAATGCTTGTGTTGCTGTCATATGGTTTAGAAATAAACTTCCCATAAAGCCAGCTTGTTTTATTTTATTTAACTAAAATAATATTCAATGACTTACTGTGCTGTGGAATGACTATTTGTGAGTAGTCTTTTGAATAACCAATATTAGTTTTAGAGTAGATGAAATAATTCTGTGTTTGATGACAAGGTTCATCTGGTATTTCTAATGTATGTACATCACTATAAACTGTAAAATTTTCACTTGGAGTCAAGATCATGTATTCAATTATCTCCCCTTGTTGTTCATCTTCTGCTACATCCTAAAAGAGGAAGATAAACAATTGTAGTGATGAAATATATCCTCTGATTTACAGAAATAATAGGACAATTATGTCTAAATTTCCGGTATTGTGTTTTCACCCCCTGGGGGTGTGGGACTAGGGTGTCAGGGGCGTGGCCATCTGGTGTAGGAGAAGAATTTGTTGAATTGAGAGAGCACCTCAAATCAACACATGCTAGAAATGTGGAGGAAACAAATTTTTTGGGGTGGAAAGGTCCAGGTGATTGCTCTAGGGGTGTGAAGGCTGAGAAAGGTTGGGAACCACTGGTCTAGAGCCAGTCCACAATGGTGTTAACAAAGAATACAACAACTTAGTTTAGGACATGTGAATATATCGCCAAATTGCATGATTAGGTTATGGTGATGTGAATACATTGGGATCAAATTGAGTGAACTGAGTACTTTATCCTGATTTTTTTTTAAAAATAGAGCCACAGAATAGTATAAGAAAAATAAAAACAGGTAAATACTTACCCCCCAATACAAAGCAACGTTTCTCTTAGTCTTAATACATCTAGTTAGTTTAAAACTACCACTACTAACTACTGGACCACTTAATGGAACTTAAAACAAATAAAATGTCATTCATAAAAGAATATACCTGTAACTCAAAGCAAAATTAATCTCAAAATGCACTATAAGTATCACTTGGTGCAAAAATGAAAATCTAGTTTCTGGTTTGTCTACAATTAAAGACAAACTTATTTGACTAAAAAAAAGTTCCATCAGCACCATAATCAAATATTTAGACAACTATTTGCTCTTTTGGTTTAATTAAAATTAGAACAAACTTTCCTTCCGCTGTTTTGTTTGCTTTTATTTTCAATACAGCCATTTCAGTTAGGGTCTAACGACAGCCCTCGTTAATGTTCATCAAATTATTGGTTAAAGCAGAAGTCATTCAGTTAGGTCAAAAGAATAATTTGAAAACGTAAAATAAAAGCTAATAAAAAACGGAACGAAAAAAATACTGACTTTTAGACTATCTACTAACTATCCTAACCAAACAAAAAAAAATAATATGAAAATGCTAAAATACCATCTTGCAATGTTGTGGCTTGTATTGTTCGGTTGGCACTCCAATATCCATTGTCTTTAGGTTTACATTTAACAATAAATTTATAACCAGTGTATGGATTGAGATCACATATTGACATGGTTAAATTCCTACTACCCACTATTTCCTTTTCTATCATTGTCTACAAATACAAACCATAATAGATAATTCAATAATAATTTTGGAACCTAAATCTACAATAATAAAAAAATTGATTTATATGAACCTGGGTCCATAACTTTAAGTAAAATCAGACTAAGATTTTCAAAAATCAAGTTGTGGTGATCTAAATTATCCCAAAGTCTCCATCCAAAAAGATGATACATTGCACAAATTTTAAATCTAATGAAGGAAATTCATGTTTTAATAAATGCTAAGCCTAAATGATCAAATTTTGGGAATAACTCAAAATAAATTTGTCCTGAAAATATTTCCATACATTCAATTGAAATCATTTCTGTGAGTAACTGAACTGATTTTGTTATATTATCTGAATCTTTCTTGTCCTCAATGGTTCATGTCCCAGAATTCATCATGCATTGACAATTCGTTAAAAATATAGAGCATTTGATTGGTTGAAATATTTTATCTGTAATATCTGAGTGCCTTGAAAATCATATGAGAAATGTCTTATTTGATTAATAATTCGATGTATATTAGAAATCCTACCTTATTTCGTGATTCATAAATCACAGAAAACAACTTGGGTCTGCTTTTTTCATGCCCCCAATTCAGCGTTACACATGTTTTTCCAACATTGCCAACCACCACCAGATCTGTTGGAGCAGACGGCTGAACTATAATAAAATATTATGGATGAAATTTAATGCAATTTGGTACAATTAATGCATGAAATATATTTCAGTCTTATTATTCAAGTCTACTTCCTTATAAGATAAACAACTTTAATTCAAATCATTTAGTCTGGGTTGTCAAGACGCAGAACAACACTGTCAAACTCGTCTGTGTATAAAAATTTCTAAATCAATATTCAAAATAAAAAACATTCAAAAATTATATAAAAAAAATAATTTCTTGCAAAAAATCTTACCATGTTGAGATGTTCTCAAATTTTCTTGAAAACTAGCTGTGACATCTCTCTTGGTATTTTTCACAGTAATATAAATAAACATCTGACTAGATCCACGATATTCAGAGGAAGTCCAAGTACAGGATGTGTTTGTCAGGTGAGGACATTGTTGATACCTGGCAGCCAAAAAATAAAAAAACTGTTACTTAAACTCTTTGAACACTGAATATAAATGATGTTATAATATAAATTAAAGAGATTGTCGTCACATGGTAATGGCCGCTATACTGGCTGCTCAGATGTATATATATTGCGTAATTATATGGCTGATAAACCAGCCGCTGAGTTGAAAGGGTTAACATAGCCAGTGCAAGTTAAATTCTGACTTGTTAACCTGTAAGTCAAGAATGCATTATCAAGATAATAATTTTGAATTTTTCAATTCTGTGTCCTCAAGTTACATAATAGTGATCAGAGGAACTAAAATGCCTCTATTTGAGATTAACATGCTGGCTGGCTGTGGGCAAAGATTTGCACCATTCCACTTTTGAGTAACAATTTTATTCAAAAAAAGCGTTTTATGAAGTAGCTATTGCAAAGGCATCATATTTGCTAATATTTCTTAATCAGACATCTGAAGAAAATGTGGAATGATGCAAATAGAAGCCATAGATTGCCTTGACAAAATCAAAAGCTAGAAAACCTTGTTACAAGGCCTCAATGAGTGTAAGTTCAGATGGTAGCTTCAGAAGTAGAACTTTAAGAACTCACTCTCCTCCAGGTATACTCCACCAAAAGTCAACTTTAATATACTCTTTCCAAACATAATCAACCCCTAAAGACCAGTCACATTTCAGACCATCTGTCCAATCATACACGATACAAGTAAAGTTTGTTATTGCTACTGGAGCATCTATAAATGGATATATCTTCAATCAAGACAAATCAAATACCACCAGCTATTAGATTGTGAGGCAATAGCAGTGATCCATTACTGTTCTCAATTATAGTAATATAGCACTAGGGTTTTTTTGTGTGTACAAATTATTTGCTAAACATAGTTTGTGAGTGCATAAATATATCAAATGAATGACAAGAGGTTTTTTTTCGCCTTAAGTGAAATGCTAAAATTTTCAAATGAAAAAAATAAATTGTCTCAATGATCGCAAAAAAAGAAGGAATCACTTATCCAATCAGATGCAAAAAATTGCCTCAACATCAACAAAACATTGCAAGTGATGTCAAATATAGCAGAGAATGTTTTGGGCAGTCTTAAAGGGACAGGTAGGAACCAGGAATTTTTTTAAGCTAAACCAATCAGTTACAGTGTTCAAAGCTCACAGTCGAAATTTGAGCCTTCCATGTATGTCCAGAATTATCCGAGATTGAATGTTAAAATGACGACTTCTCAAGGTTAAGATACTCTGTGATATATAGAAAAGACATATTTAGAAATAGTGAGTAAAATTCCTAGTTTGAAGTATTTTTAAAGGAATTGTGTGATTTTTATACATTTCTAGTACTTCTGAAGACTAGTTACATATATTCAAGACCAAAAAATGGCACATCTGTCAAAATACTCTCAAGGATTCTGACTGTATTTGTCTTCTGACAAGGCAACAGATCTAAACATCAATCTTGCATTTATCATATTGTGACAAAATAACCATTTCATGAAAGACCACCTCTATACTTACAATCCACATTGACTATTTGAGATCCAAGTAATATATCTTCTGGTGTTTCTAACCAACATCCATATCTTCCCTCATCATTGGTTGAAGATACTGTAGTATTATATAAGGCAGTATCATCAGAAATCTGGATATTGTCTTTTGGAAGATGCTGATTACCTTTGGTGAAGTAAGCTGAAGAGATATTCAAATCTCTGAACTCATCTGATTCTGGTATGGTACAGTTCAATACTAAATGTTCACCAATAAACACGTAAGGAGATATTGGCAGCAGCTCACCACCTAAAATGAAAAAAAAAACTTTGTATTTATTGACAGCTACTACAAGAAAGAAACAATCAATTTTTACAAGGATAACAATTAGATTCGCATAGATCTTTCTACCAGGTGGTCCTTGGACAAACATCTAAGTCTTGATTTTTCTAGTTGGGTCGACTTGACCTATGAAGAAAGAAGACTTTCGCACACCAACCAGTAATAAACAAACCAAATACTCCCAACAAAGAGATGTCGTGTTGACAAACTCATTCACAGAGAGGCACTAGATGTAAGCTACTCACCAACATAACTGACTGCTAATACCAATATTATAACAAATATAACCATCTTCTTCTTATTACTTCCATTTCAAACTATTTCATACATAAACTCCTGAAAGATTTTCCTGAAAAAGTAATTTGTTCAATAGTTCAAAGTTAATGAGCTAATTAATGTCTATTGTAAACAATTGTAACTTGGGATTTTTTGTGCTGATTAAAGAAATCATCTACCAACAATGTAGCTTTTAAAAATTATATCTAATCTAATATCATCTACTTTGAAGGTGAAGTATGCAAAATTTTCATTACCAAAAACGTTAAATTAGACCTGAAAACATTTCTAAAGTATGCTATTTACATCTATGTATCTTCTTCATCAAACTGAATTTGTTTTGAAAGGGTTATTTAAAGATAGTGGACCACAGCCATATACGCCCTTCACGGCATGCGGATGGTAAGAACGAAACATCCATTTCAAGTTTCATCAAATTCGGTTGAAAACTAAGAGAGTAATAGCATATTCAACATTTTGGGGCAAGGGCAATAACTCTGCTTTTAACGGTCGAAAATAGCTCCATCAAAAAATCTAACAAATGTTGACAGATGGACGGATGGATGGATGGGCAGATGGACAGACAGGGGTGCCGACAATATACGTCCACATAGAGAGATGTGGGAGAATAAAAACAGAGAGTATTTATTTTAAATTAAGAGTTTGACCTTAACATTTAGCTTTATAACGGCTGAATATTATCTGTTATGCATGAGAATATTAAGAATTTCATGACTTATACTGTATATTGGTTGAAAATATCCTACATCATATACCAGGCATGTTGTATTTTCATTCATGCGTTAAAATTCAGCAGAATTAACAATCCTCAATACACCCATTAAATAATCATTGTGATAATAATATATGTAATACAAATACTTATCAAACATTAAAAATAGGTCAATTAGTAGCAATTATACTTAAATACCAATTTTCATAATTTGACCATACACGTGTTCGCTCTTGGTACTTGTAATTTTAGAAGAGTGGAACAATTGTGATGTTACAGTGATTAAAAATGGAATGATATTTGCTATGATTTTAATTTGTTCGAAGTATTTATAGAATGACAGGAAATGTGAATAGTGAACTACGCTAGGAAACTCTTCAGTTTTTCTGAAAGTATTTATCTCAGTAACGATATAATCTGATTTTACAGAAAAGTAAAAGAAAGAAAGAACTATATTTTACAAGGATAACAACTTAGGTTCACAGTTAAAGATCCTTCCTACCAGCTGGTCCTTGGTCAAACCTCTTGGCATGGATCTTTCCCAGGTTATCTTTAATTTGAATTATGAGTGAAGATGACTTATTCAGGGTAACTTTCACACGCCGATCGAGATCGGAACCCACAGCCGCCATTCGCTCTCAAAACCAAGCAAATGGCATCATGTAAAGAACCAACACTTTAACCGACAGTGCTATAGAACTTAACATAAATATAAAAATCATTTTTCTCTGACTCCATTAATCTGTTATGTTAAAATTGTCCATGATGGATATATCCAAGATCCCTTATCATAATATATCTGAACAAAATTCCAATTGTATATCAAAATATGAAGCTTTTCCTAAGTCTCATCAATATGCATCTAAATGCATACTCAGTAAAGATCAAAATCTCCACTCATTAACAAAAAAATGTTGGCATATTGCTGGGCAGACAAGGGCAACTGAAAAATGGCAAAAATTGTGTTAATCTGAAATCTCAGTAAGGTTGAAAGATTGTTTAAATAGTACTCAAAGTGTAAAATAACAACAATGCTCTGTTATCATTAAACAATGTAAGTGATAACAGATATCATGATTATACAAATGATACAGAGATTAAGGTCAACTGATAATATTTCATATTTAAACCTATACAGAATTAACAATAAGTGCCCCACAAAATAATAATAAACTCCTAACAACTCCTTCTTCAAAATGTCTGAAATGTTATTGAAGAAAATCAATATAATCAACAACCATTCAAACTTAAAGCAGTCCTAAAGGTATATTTATTCTACATATTTAGTTTACCAGCAGATGGATCTCGATTTCAGTTTTCTACCACAATTTTTAGAATAAAGCTATGATGTTTACCTAAGCATAACTCAAAACGTGATTACATGTGTACGTACGATATTCTGCAAAACTGTCATTGTATAAAGGAAACAGAACGGTATTGGGTCAGTAAACAAAGGAGGAGACGAAATTCCACTACAGTAATGATGTCAAATAGGAGATAAAGTCGTCCGTAGTTGTCCGCAAAAAGAAAAAAAACACTCACTGAGCCATCCGTTGTGCTTAAGGAGGTGTTGGGTTTGAGGACGAGTGTAAGCAGAAAATAAGATGCGCTAAAGATTTGCTTGGGTCCGTTTTTTAGTGAGTATGCATTTTAGTTTGAGGTTGTGTACACATGTGATCACAGCCTTACAGTCCTCTGTTTGATTTTCATATGATTAAGCAGAAATATAACTTAGTTTAGACCGATATATTCATATGCCCAAATAATGGCATAAGTCTACATAGTTAATTGTAACATACCTTACCGATAAATATCTTACATCTTGACAGTAAATTCAACACATAAAATAACTATGAATATTAGGCTGTTATTATATCTGACTGAGTTGTTTCCCCAACAAGAGTGGATTATAAAACTTCATTTCAATTAATATTCACTAATGTTTCTAACTAAACTTCCTAGTTTCGTTGGTGTTTTTTTTTTTAACCAAATTAGCCCATTGTTTTGATATATTTTGACACTTATACAAAGTAGAGGTGAAAAGGTTTGAAAATATAATTTAGTGTAACATAGGCCAATAGATATTTCACATTTTCAGAAATCAAATTAACTTTTAAAAATACAATTACAATTAATTTAACAAAACTACAATTACTAGTTGATCTAGGAGTCTCAGAAATCAAGTTAACTGCAACAAACTACAATTACTAGTTGATCTAGGAGTCTCAGAAATCAAGTAAGCTGCAACAAACTACAATTACTAGGGATCTAGGAGTCTCAGAAATCAAGTTAACTACAACAAACTATAATTACTAGGGATCTAGGAGTCTAAGAAATCAAGTTAACTGCAACAAACTATAATTACTAGGGATCTAGGAGTCTCAGAAATTAAATTAACTGCAACAAACTACAATGATTAGGTAATCTAGGAGTCTCAGAAATTAAATTAACTGCAACAAACTACAATGATTAGGTAATCTAGGAAGTCTCAGAAATTAAATTAACTGCAACAAACTCTCAGAAATCATATTCATTTAAATAATCAACAATGTTTAAGTTTAGTCTCTGAACCATTTAAAAATAAAGACCAAGAATCTTTTAAATAAAATCAATTTCCATAAACTACAATGCCTAAGTTGGTTTCAGAAATCAAAACCTCTACCATGTATACCATGAATATAAATCTAATTCAATTGTCCCATATGAGCAACTAGATGCTTTTTCCATGCCACATCTTTGACTGGCAGTCATGATCAAATCCTTAATCGTGAATTAGTGTGAATTAGAGTACAAAAACTTAAATATCTCAGTTTGTTTAGATTAAACACCTGGTTTTTTGAATCACTGATCCTAGCAAAGATGCCATATGAATGGGTAATGAAATTACAAGACAGAAAACAGACATCCACCTATCAAATAGCAATCCAGACATCATGATGAAATTAACGAATTGGACATGAAATGAGTTCAACAGCTATCATTCAGCTGGATCATTAAATGCATTTGATTGGCAAAGTCAGGTATCTGCAGAAATACCAAATTTATGCATAGAAAAACATGTATTCAAATCCAGTAGTCAATAATCAATTTCCAGTTTTATTCAATACTGGCCGAAATCAACATAAAAATTACATTAGGCACCACCATTTTAAATCATGTTGTTTTCATTTTATATTGAAATGAAAGATCTATTCAAAGGATTTTGTCCAAGGATCAGCATGTAGAAAGGATCTTCATGAACTTATAATTAATGGCTGTTCATATAAATGTGGATAGCAATATTAAATATGTTGTATTATTGCCTGGCCTTCAGCCAATATCAATTCCTAATGAGCATTGAAGACATCAAATCAGCTATAGCAACAATTGTTTACTGTAAACACTCAGTCATAGTTACCAAAATTGCTACAAGTATTAAAGTAAAATAGTCTAATCATTTTTCACTACATTGTTTTCCGATGAATACTAAGGTATAGAACATCTCAAAACCAACAAAAACAGGGTTGGCTTTATAACTAACTTTTTAATCAAAAATGACTAAAAAAATTATGATTTCACAGGATATGACCCTAAAATCTACAAAAAAGTTTTTAAATTTAGTTGTCTACATATGGCAATAAAACAGAAGAATGCTTGCTCACTAAAGGTACAATTTAATTTCGCCATAAGACAATTCCTATGGATGTATCAACCCAGTTTGCCTTGTCAGTGATGCAGGATGAATAAGACATTCAGTACCAGTACACAAGATCCCTCGACAGCCAGGAATCAAAATAGAGTAGTCCTAAACCTCATTGCACACTGCATAGCATTGCCCATCTTCATAAGCCCAATCATGTACCAAAAAGTAGTGATGCAAAACTTCATTAATTTCATTTAGAAATTAACAGAGACAAATCTCTTTTTCAGTTAAAATAAATAATAATCTTCAAAAACTTTTGTCCCATTTTGTTTGAATTGACATGTGTTTTATGTTGCTTTTCAACACGTTTCATGCAGAGCATTTATATTTTGAAATTTCTGATCATTCATCCTTTAAGTGAAGCATACAATGAAACTGGTAATTCCAAATAGATCAATAAGAAAGTTTTTATATAATAGTTGTAGCTGAAAGCGATCATAAATAGGACATTTCTACAGTGTGATTTCCTGACTGTTGTTCAGATTTAGAGTGGATTACTCAAATCAAGCATCAAAATATACTAAATAAAATTTCTGAAAATGAAATTCCAATTTGGTTCAGTTAATAAAATAAAAATGCTATGAAAGTTGATAGAGATCTGTAGTGTTTGATTGGTTGATCTATAAATATACTAGAATCTATTCTGTGACATTCTAATGGGACAATAAGCCTATTTTCTTCTCCTTTTTTGCTGAATTAAATGTTAAATCAGAAAATAACAGTTAAAGTTTTGTAAATATGTTAGATATAGTTCAGACCTATAATTAATCAACATCCTCACCTCTTATCTTTTAACCATAATATTGTTTTTAATAGCTACATCAAAATGACCTTGAAACATTATTTAAGGTCAATTATAGATGCATAGAAAATAGGCTGACCCAATATCAAATTTCAGCATCATTCCTGTTGACAAGCTCATTCAGAGAATTTGTACAATGTTCCATCTTACACAAAATCTCAAATTAAATTTGACTAGCACTAGCTGACTTTGTTCGAATTTTTCAGGGGGCAAATATAGAGGGGGGGACGTCTTCCCCCTACCCCTCACCCCAGTTATGGGCCTGTGTAGGCCATATTCTATGCAATGAGAGTGTGTATGCCTATCTCAGGATTGACCTTTCTTGTCAAATAGTTCAGCTCCTCCACCTCTTCCCACCTAGAAAACTTTCAGCCCCTCTTTCCCCTAACTAACGCAACTTACTCTATAATTTAGGTACTTCAACTGGTAGGTTTATGGTACATTATCAACTTGTTTCAACCACTGACTGGCACTCAAAATCTCAATATGAAATATTTACTGCTATTCCATTAGTAAGTTTTAATATTCAATATTCCTCTAAGTTATATATTGACTAGATGTTATTATTAACTGGACAAATATTCCGCTTCAAACATTCCGCTTCAAACATTTTTAAAATATTTTTGGTTTTGTATTTTCAATCGGTTTTACTTTCAGTTTCTGTCACTGATTGATGCCAAGTTAGACAATTACATTCAGCATCATCAGCATTCAGACAACAGTGATGTTTTGCTTTGAAATATCAGGTTTTGTGGTAATTTTGGAATACTGTCACAAGAATTAATTCCACAAATTTCAATGAGACAAAAGTTATTTATAGTACCAGCATTACACAAATAGCCTTAGGCGTAGGGCATATATTACCATTAAGCTTATGGCACAAATCAGAGAATTTGGAATCCGGCCAAAGTTATGGGAAAAACCAATGAAATTCATACCAGAATTGTTAATTCCTATGTGACAAACCATTTTTCCAACAAAGAATAAAATTTCCCGAACAGAAACTGGGATACCATTTTCCAATAAAAAAAAATATTTGCAATATCTTCAATTACCAATAAATGTGGAATTTCAATATGCACCACTAGGGGTGTTTGGAAATTCTCGGTAGTGGAGGAGGATTAAGGGATGAATTATACAGAAAGAGGGGGATTAAGGGGTGGATTGTACAGAAAGAGGGGGATGGGGGAAGGGGGGTCTGTGAATAAAGGGAAAATTCACACCAGTTCCAAAATAAACTCCTTTATTTTCAGAATGACTCATCAACTGTACTTAACATATGATTTAATGAAGGAAGAAGAAATCCTTGATAACTGCAAAGCAGACACAAAACTTGCTATAATCTTTCCCACATTGTATCTCATGGAGTGTGCATTTAGCCAGTAGCGGATATCAAAAAAGCTAACCAAAGAACTTATGAGCATTGTTTATAGAAATATACGAATATTCATATCATGAGCATGACTATTTCTTGTGGACTATTTTGTGAATTAGGTAAATATGATGCATTTCAATCATAGAAGAATTGATTTATTGATAGAGAAATAAATAATAACACAATTTTGGCCATTTTCAGAGGCTTAATGTACAAACGATCAGACTTAAAAAACAAGTTGTCTTCATCAAACCATTATAATAAAATATTTCATCACACATATTACATAATATATTTGATAATACATGATTGGACTTCAAATCTATCACCTGATTTAGACACAAGACATCATGACATAACGTAAGAAAATAACCCTTTTTTTGGCATGAGAGACAAATACTGTGATTTTTACTACCATTCACTGGACTATCTTATTTCATATTGAAAGATATATAATCATAAAAATATCTGCTCTGTTGGACTTCAACTATATATATACTTTAGCACAGCCAGTTAAAACGTTGGTTCATTACAATATTTGCTTGGTTATGCCAAACAAATGGCAATTGTGGGTTCTAATCTTGGTCAGAGTGTGAAAGTATGATGACCTTATATAAGTCATCTTCACTCATAATTCCAGTTGACCTAGCTTTAAATGGGTATATAAAATTCTAACAAAATCAATGCCAAGGACAAACTGGTAGAAAGCATCCTTTGTGAATTTAAGTTGTTATCCGTGTAAAATATAGCTGTTTCTTTTTTTCATGTAACTACACATATTGATTCAAGTCAACTTTAGGATTCTTTTCATTAATATCACCATATTTTCAGCACTGCCATTAACAGAGTTTGGATTGAACAACAATCCTTTGCATTACAAATCCCTGAACATATTTGGGCGTTATGTTCTATATCCACAGTCCACTATTTGAATCTAATTATCAGGTGTAAAAGCTTGAAGACCAGTAATTGCTCGACCAAGTATAAGAGCATGTATATCATGTGTACCTAGAAATTAAAAAAACTTTTGTAAGATATACTGAGTGTCAAATGATGAAATTCCTTAAATAGAAAGCACTTCAAAACTATCAGTTCAAAAACCCTTCGAATAAATATTACTATGATAGTTTGACCAGTAAAGCCACCCTAGTCTTCAAAGTGTTAGTACAAATTTGAAAATACACAGATGGTGTTTTATGCAAAGGATAAAAGTTCCTCTGGTTGTCTGCTTACCAACAGATTTTCTGAGACTGAAGCAAGGGAACACAACTTCTGGCGGCCAGTTATTGAATTCCAAAGTTTAAGTTCTGTTTTTGGCTCCTGGTTGGACTAATAAAGAGGAGCAACACCATGCAGTGTGCAAAAAGTGAAATTTAGTCAGGGCGGCAGCAATAGCCTACTCTTTCAGATATATAACTGTCATGGAATCTTAAATTTGCACAGCCAGAAGCAGCCAGGATCTCAGAGTAAGGGCTAAAACCCAGAAATAGCTTAGCAATATTTCATGAGAAAGACGTAAAATGGATACTTGAGCTGGCCATAAGTGTTATCTGCAATGTGCAATCACAGATCTGCTACTACACAAACTTCTATCAAGTTGTTATAGATTATTAGTGCACAGATTTAAAAAACCAAATTTATGAGAATAACATACCTTCATAAGTATTAACAGCTTCAAGATTCATTACATGACGTATAACATGATATTCATCTGATATACCATTACCACCTAGCATATCTCTAGCCATTCTCGCTATATCTAATGATTTACCACATGAATTACGCTTTATCAATGATATCATTTCTGGTGATGCACTGAAGCAAAAACGGAAAATCTTTGGAAATTATCGAGAGATAATTATATAAGAGATAATATTTATGTTATTCGAACTCATAATTCCTTTTATAGTATATGAAAAAAATAATCACAGATTGTGAAATGATATGATTTAACTTCAATGACACTGTCAAAACTCTTCAACATTCAAAAACTTAAGTTTATTTTAAATAAATGCAATAAAGGAAATTCAAAAGGCACAAGTTGAGGGCTAGCTGTCTGAAACTAAGTTTAACATACTTTCCTTCATCCTTCAATCTACCAACTTGTACACAAGACTGTAAACCAAGTGATATTTCTGTCAACATGTCGGCCATTTTCTTTTGTAATAACTGATTTTTAGCTAGCGGTCGACCAAATTGTTTTCTGGAAGATAAAGGGAAAGTAACATGATGTTCTTATACTCCTCTAAAGACGGAAGACAGAAAAAAAAAAATTCTATCTACTGGTTTCAGTCAAACCTCTTGGCAACTATATTTATCTATATGTGGACTGTGGACAAAGAATGACTTATTCCATGTAACTACGAAAATGATGCCATAAGGTTTTTAACACTAAACAAAGAATTCTACAGATCCAGCGGTTGATTCTGATTTTTTTTTAATGGTGAAGAACATTTAATTATTTAGATGAGACAATAAGCAGAGGCTCTCATCGCATGTTGGTATATCACAGACAGCTGAAAAAAGTAGGCCAATACATTTGTAATGTCAACATTTTCCTTATTGCACACTGCATGGTGATGCCTGTCTTAATTGATCCTATTTGGAGCATAAAAGTAGACGGTAAATTGTCTTTTTTCTTGATTTACCTGAGACAAAAATCTAAACTTGAATATTTTTGATAATGCCATTCACAAATGTAAATTACAAATTCTAAATATAGCTGTATCAACCAATCAGAGCACTGATTGTCTCAAAATCTGGAGTTCATCCTTTGAGAAACTGACCAGTGAGAGGCAAACTTCCTTACCATGATTAAATGATCATACCTGTCTAGTAAATACTGTCTGGCTGTCTCTAAACAAAACTCTGCAGCACCAAGTGTTCCCCAGGCAATACCATACCTTGCATTGTTTAAACATCCAAATGGTCCCTGATGAAATATTAATTGGTTGGTGCAATTATCAAAGATAATTTTTCAACTGTTATCAAAATATTGTGCAAATATAAAGAATCAATCTTGATCCTTTTATAAAGAACTAAGACAGGTTTACCATATGACAAGCTTTACATGACCAGCTATAACAAATACAAAATCCACATTCATTCCTTAATTATTAACATGCTATCGCTTGCCAAGAGATATAACATGCCAATGGAAGCAGTTCAGATGTTTTTTTATTGTTTGACAGGAAATTTGTTTATTTCAAACTCATCGCTACAAGATTCAAAATATGTATCCAAAATACTTACGCCTAATCCAGCAGCATGAGGTAGAAGATTCTCTTCAGGAACCTCCACATCTTCCATAACAATCTGACCTGTAATACTGGCTCGTAATGAGAATTTACCTTCAATTTTAGGTGCTGATAGTCCCTTCATTCCCTTCTCTAGAATAAACCCTCTAATTCTGTTTTTATCAGAATCTAATTTTCCCCACACAACAAACACGTCAGCTATAGGAGAATTAGTGATCCTGAAAAATAATTTCATGACAAAATCATATCAGCAAATACATTGTACGACTGTTGAAAAAAATGTATAAAGTAAAACTAAAGTAAAATGGAAGAGACTAATGAAGACAAATATGACAAAGCAGTGTGCAAGATCTTGAATGGGTACTTAGACCTGTACATCAAATCTGCCTTTCCTAAAATCTAGAATGCTAAACTATCATTATAAGTCTTCTTGATATTTCTGTCGATGAAAAAGTTAAAGAGAGTTATGATGGACAATCTTATAAGCTTACCATGATTTGGAACCATTAAGAGTGAAAGATTTTTTACTACTATTATGTACAGCCCTTGTTTCCATGGAAGCTGGATCACTACCATGATTAGGTTCTGTTAGACCAAAACATCCAATAAGATCACCTTTAGCTACAGAATATAAATAATTCATGAAATATTAGATGTGAATATGACAGCTCTTTGTTAGCTTGAAATGCATAGACAACCTTGCCAAATAGACATTAAGCCAACATAAACAGTCATTGAAGGGATACCAAAGAGGTCTTCATCCCTTTCCTTGGACAGTTTTGGGAAGACGACTAATTTAAGGTCATCAGACTATCACACGCCAATCGAGAAATGCAATGTCATGCATGAAAAATATGTACCAACCTAATTTAGGGATATATTTCTCTTTCTGTTCTTCTGTACCATAAGCATAAATCGGCCACATAACTAAACTAGACTGTACACTCATAGCTGATCTATAACTACTGTCTACTCTACAATAGAATTCATTCTCATGTGAATTAACAAACCCAGGTAAATATAACTGAATATGGATTGATGGCTTTGTCAACAAAAATAGCTGTCCTGTCCTAAATTTATTTTTGTATCAAAAAGAAAGCTTTCAGTTTAAAAAAAAAAACAGAAATACACAGGACAGCAGATGATAAGATGCCCCAATATTACTACTTAATAGCAGATTAAAAATATTTTTATAGCAAATTAATAGCCTACTTTGTATAGTGTACAAAATGAGTTCTGAAACTGTTTGTAAAATGTTTATATTCCATTTTGTCAGCTTTCACAGGTTGTTGATAAATGCCTGATTGACATGAAATAAATGAACAGGCTGTTGCCTACCTTTCTAATTCTCTAGTTATCAAACCATAGCCTACTGATGATAATCCAGCACAACCATATCCTTTAATAGTAGGTCCTAATACTCCTAATTCACCCATTTCTTTCATTATTTTGGGGTCAAATACTGCAAAGAAATTCATAAAATATAAAACATCTTTATTAAGTATCAGATCCAGTGGCATATTTAGGGACCATCTTTGATATACCCGTATAAATATACAATGCTGAACCATTAATGAGTCCATAAAGGCTCACCTTCATTTCTATTGGCAAGTAATATTCTCGGCATCAACTTTTCAGTACAATAACTTTCAAACTGATCTCTAACCATTTTCTCTTCATCTGTCAGTTGACTTTCTAGTCTTAATGCATCTCTCCATTCAAATGGAGCTGAAATGTGTATGTTAGAGGTGTCAAAGTGGAGATTTTATGCAGTGACACAACGTCACCCTTTTTTATTTTTGAGTTATGAATTCAATATGGCTGATGTGTGAATAAGGTCTATATGCATGAACTTTAGAAGTTAATGAAAATACAGCCTGGTCATCCTGTGCAAATTATTTCAGCTTACACAGCTCTCAATCTGCTATCACACAAAAGCAAAAACAGTATCAACCAAAAACACCAAGTCTATTCATGTGGTTGGGTTGGGGGCAAGATAGTTATAATAATTACATTGTAGAATTTTACTCACCATATTTGGAAGTGCTATCTTTTGCTTTTGCTGGTATTGCGTTAAGGACATTTAAAAAATTTGTTATTAATAAGTGATATCAAGATCAAACTTAAGTTTTGAGTATAGATCTAAAAACAACAACCTCTAAATTGTGTTCAGATCCTGGTTCAGACTATCTGAATGGAATGTTAAACACATCCAGCTTCAAAGTATACTCATACATATTATACAACTCTATAGTTACATTGCTGTACAATACAATGCCTGTATTAAAGACAATCTTAAATTCTTATCTAAGTAGTTCTATATCATATAATATAGCACTAATTAGATATGAGTGCCTGTGGCCTGTCTGTCTAACCCAATTTTGTGCTAACTTATTTTTTGTGCATCTTTGGAAATGATTAATGATTCACATGCACGACCTCGGGTGACCTCCGCATTTGGATGTTTTGATAAACATGGGCTATCTGTACAATGTCAACCTGCAAAATTGTTCTTATCGGGTTGGTTACTTGTGAAATATGGGTCAAAGTGAGGGATTCATCTAGAAAATCGCAACAAACCAATTTTAATCATTTTGAGGAACATCTGAGGAAACATCTCAAGACATAAAAAAAACTTTCCGTTTTTTAATTTCGACAAAATTTTGTGTTGAATCATTATATGCACGAATATAGGTTACACCAAGCTGTATTAGGCTGAATAGAACATTTAATTGTGGTCTGACTTGACTTAGCCTAGTTTTCAGCCTGATCAACCTACTAACTTGTTTCATCATCATCACATTAACCGATATAAACCATATAATAAAAGGATACTTTGAGTTGCTGCAGATGTCGATAGAGATCTGCCACTTGCCAATCTAAGACAATTTTTACAGCGAAATAGCATTACAACGTTTTTCAGGCTTGCCATTTCTCCACTTCTGTAACTTGTCAAAAAATAGTTATTCTGACCTGAAGGATAAGAACAGTTACGAAACAGTCCTGCTTTCTACGCACAAGAAAATAGTCTATAGCCTCGATTATCAACAATCAACATTCTGCATAGCCTCGATTGTCACTAAAAAGAGAGTTTATGTAACTAATAGATCGAGAGTATTCTTTGATTTTACAGTTAAAGGGAGGCAAATCTATTCTCAGAAGAATCAGACAACAAGAATTTTTCCAAAATTGTTCCAATCAGAAGTATTACTTTCATATGAGCTATAGGGATTAGTTATTCAAAATCTATCTTTAATATAGACCCTACATACCTATTAGTACCTTGATTAAGTCCCTTCCAAACGTATATTAGTCCCCCAAATCATGCATTAGGCCTATTCAAAGTTGAAACCAGAAATTCAGATAGTATTTTGACCCATTTGGTGTCTTTCCCTTTCCAGTTCCCACAAAATCACTCCCATTTTGCCCTTTCTGTTTTTCACCTCTTACCCATTTCTCCCCTTCCCACTTCATCCTTAAATCATTTCGGTTCAATCACTTGTCTGTTTCACTCTTTGCCCATATCGCCACTTCCTGTAAACCCTATACTCCCCTCCCCATTCACTTGTTACCCATTTGGAACCATCCCTTCACCCCTTCCCTAGGGGGGCATAAACAATTTTTTTTTTCCCAGGACTTGAATTTGGTTAAGTTTCAAGTTCACCTGTGGCTGTTTACCAGTAGCTGTCAAATATACCCCTAGTCTCCCTAGCAGCCAACTTATTCTGAATATCTCTTAAAAAATCATAAATGAAAAATGAAAAGTACTTTATGGATTTTTTTTTATTCAAAATGGAACATCTGAAAGGATAACAAAAGAAAATTAAAGGAAGTAACAACAATAAGGTCAATTGACAAAATAATCCTTTTATACAAACAATAATATTGCCTTTATATACATATTTTGAATTGGTAATGTTTGCAAGCATTTAAATAATATGGGACAGATCTGATTCCAATGATCTTTTCTTGCCTTAGAATTGTTTACAGGGTCGTTTACAGTTTCTCAACACACCATTCTCATTTCATATATCTTTGGCTCCAAATAAGCTTGACCAAATTGTAACATCACTTTCACAAAACCCCATAGTTTGTATTTGAGTGAGATAGGTGTTACAAACTGATTTTCCTGCAGTAACAGAATGCAAAGTTGCTGGATAATCAGAATAGTCCAGATAAAACTGTTTCTGGTACCCATTTTAAGGCTTGAAAACGGCTTTTGAATTCCTTTAAACTGAAAATCTACAAGCGTTACATTGCCCACATGAATCTTTTATGAAATAATTTTCTTGCCTTTTTTTGTAATATGCATGGAAATTTAAACTTATACTGCAGTGAAAGGTTTTTTTTTGTGTTTTTGGTAACATAAAACTTGCCAAATCTATATATCATAAGTAACAGTTACAAAGATTGCATGATATATTTGGTAAGAGCCATTAAGAATGGCAAAATTCTGTAAAGAGCTCAGAAAAGTAGGACGTAAAACTCCATTCATTTCATATCATTTTGTAAAGAGCTAACTTTTGGATTACAAATGTATATCTTGGTATTATAGAGGTATTAAAAGGATTAGCATGATACTTCTATTTAGTGAAATAAATAAATTCCAACTAATAAGCCACCTATAAATTCAATTTTATCCAAAATCCAAGAGAATAATTTGACTTTATCCCTTTCATACATCACAGGCTGATTGCCACAGAGATATATTATTTATGTAAACAAACGCTGTGATCTTTAAGTATATCAGAGAGAATATAATATATATGAATGAACATTTAAATTTCCTTGCACATTTTCTCACAGAGAGAGATCATTGATAAAGTTTGTAAAATGATATATAAGTTTTTACTCTGTGTTAATGAATATCCAGAAGACAAATGTCGTGGCATCATATACCCATGAATACCCTCAACGCCTAACACTTGTAATATAACCTACATCCTCTGATAATTCATAAGCATTAATCATTTCGATTTCATATTCAATTTTTATGATGTCCCAACTTGGCAATAATTCTGATAGATACGCTACATTCGATACCCACTGTTCAGACTTTTTCATAGTCCGGAGACCGTAACTTCGATATTCTTGACTTTATAACTAAGATGAACCACAAGCCACAAGAATATATTTTATATTACAATTCCAAGCTCACTATCAACTTTTACTGAACGGCTTTCAATATCGTCATCAAAGAGGAACTACATCAAGTTCCTACCATTTTCACAGATTTCAAGGAGACTAACATAGAAGTAGTGAAAATCTCTGTCAACAACTTTTCTCCATTTTCGCGACTTTGTAAAATAGTAAATACAGCAAATAACCCAATGTGGAATGGAAACAACATTGATCCTGTAAACACAGTAATCACGAGGGGTATCGAACGAGGTATAATAACCATATGTGTTTTGATATTCCTATTACTATTGAACCATATTCAAACTTCTATACTTGAAGCAAATAAGTGAAGGTATAAAGCTGCAGAAATGACCATGCCAAACTACTTAATCAACTTAAAAGATTAACAAAGCTTGGTTCTTTTGAAAATTAATCAAAATTTGCCATAATCGACACTAAACAAACATGCTTATAAATAAAAGTAAGCCTAAAAAGTATCTACAGAACAACGGAAAAGTACAAAACTGAGAATATAGACAAATAAGAAAACAAAAAAGTCTTAAAATTTGGAATATCACACTCGACGTTTAGGACTCAGTCATTCAATCAATAAGGTATCACAGTTTAAGTCTTTCATTATGAAGGATTTCAATCATTAAAAACTGTATAATATATATCTATAGAAATTTACATCTTTGTATTACATTTACAATTATATACATGCACATATATTTACATTGTGTGAAAAACTACCCTGGATATCTTAAAAATATTTTCATTATCTAAGCTATATTTTCAGAAACTTTATAACTAAGAATACACTACATATTATATTTTCTAGAAATTTGATTGGTTGATGTTGTAGACCAATCAGATTTTTAAGTTAGATAATTACAAAGTTTCTGAAAATAAGGCCTAGATTTATATGAACTTATCATCTTATTTGTTCAACGTTTGGGTATTTATTATAAATTTTCTTTTTTATATAGTAATTTGCTAATATTGTGGAATTGAACTTATCATATCAAGTTTACTATGCTCTTATGTAGTATCTGCCACTAAAAAATAATGTGTGTTTCATTCAGTTATCTCTTTGTATTTCAAATTTTGCCCAATAGAAAATACATTATGTGTAACAATTTTACAACTTCTTTATTTAAAAGGAGGGTAACTGGATTCTGTAAAACCAATTTAAGTCTTTAAAAAGATGAAATCTTGATAACCAAAGGGTAAACTTTTGTTGAAATCTGAACCCAAACAACAAGCATTCTGAATCACATCTACTGTTTTGAACAAGTTCGTTGGTATATCAAACTTTGCGTATTTTATTAAATCAAATGTGAATAGAAGATTTAAAACAGTACTGATAATGACATAATTAAGAATGAATTTGCTTTGATAAAAATACAGACATGAGCACATATTATCACTCTGAAATTTGTTTAAATAGAAGAAAATTTTTGATATTGATATTTGCGGTTGAAATGTCTGGGAGGTAAATGTGTTTCTATTTAATATCAACTTCTAAAAATTTATATTTTAATCAATCAACACAAAGTCAATCCAAGAGTAGCAGTACTCTTTCAATGCTAATATCTTAAAACCATTTAAATAAAATGGGCAAAATTTAATGAACTTACTCAGTCAATAGTTGGATGCAAGATAACTTTGGTAGTTTTTTTCACACTGATAGATCTATATTTACAACTATATTAACAAGAAGAAATAGATCTCATTCCTAGAGTATATTCATATTTACAGTACAGACATTAAGAGCAATTAAACAATCCTTAATTACAAACAGACATATACAAAAATAACATCACATTGTTAAGAATTTTGCAATCAGTATCAAGAGTTATTCCCCTTTATTCAGACTCTCCAGTTTGAATAATCATTACAATCTATTTAATCTTATGGTCCAAATTTATCCAATGTCTTTTCTATCACACTTAAAATTTCACACTTGCCATAATTTTGATGGTAAGATTTTTTTTTAACCCATTACAAGAATTCTTATCTCAGTCAGGCCTGCAGCAAAGATTTAATTTTAAACTTTTAGATGACAAAATAGCCCTATTATTCAAAGGTACCGGTATCTTCCACCAAAATTAACTAAACGTGTAGAAATTACAACTTTGTAGAATTATTTAGACAACATTCAAAAATGAAGCCATGTTTCATTCTTCTGGATCCCTATGCCTAATTCATGGTTTACTGTCGAACAAACAACAATTTTGAAAATGCCCTTTTTTCATTCTTTTGGATAGTATTCACAGTAGGATGTCTTTGTTAGAGCAGTAGTTGCAAGACTTCAATTAGATTTTGACAAATTTAAGACTAATTAAAATATAGATCATTAAAATTTTGACATAACATTTCTACACAAATAGCATTACCAGGTAAATATCTGGGCGAGCATAAAGGAACAGATGTATGATTTGGGTTTATAATCTAAGAAGTGGTTGAATTTCAGAAATATTTGAGTTGAGTTTTCCACGATCTCAAAACTACCTACTCCACTCAAATTTCCTTTTGCTCCTCTTTTGTTAAAGAGTCAAAATGTTTTACAACCATAGAGTTCTTTGAAAACACATCATTACAACAGTGTTGGCCTTTATAAGTCACATTTTTTGTCAGACGTCATTATACATGTAAATTATCAGTGTAGTTGACACATCGGTGGTATTTTTATGGTGAATAAAAAGTCTAAAGGTGATGAACACTGCACTCCAAGTATTTTTTTTTATGGTAATTGAAAAGGCGGAAGTCTGTCATTCATTGAGGTATACATTAACTTTGGCATTTCAAAGGTGATTTAGTTTAATTACTTTCAATGTTAGATTTGATTTAATGCTGTTTAAACTACACATTTACTGCCATTAAGAGTACATATCTGTATTTCCAGTTATAATTGACCTTCATTTTGTTTTCTGTCCTGGATTCATCTTATAGGTATTGAGATGGCAGACGGATGCAGAACCTAACATATTTTGACATTTTGTGTCATTGTTGTATTCATTATCATTACATAACAGAATTTCTTTGTTACAATCAGCTTCTTTTCTGCATCCTGCATCCTGATCATGCCATGGGTTTGGATTGGGAACAACCCATGCTATGGTACCCATTACTGATTATACCTTTCCATCCAATATCCAAGATCGGTGATTCTTTTATCTGGTAAAAACCAAGTAACGGTTAGGACCAATGGTTGCTTCTCCTTATTTTTTTGTAGGTTTTATTTTTTGTCCAGGACCTTATATTTCGCTGGAACCTTTGGTGACAGTGGGATGAAGTGGGTTGGTGAATGGTTTACGCCGTCTGGTTGGTGATAATCTTGTAGGTGAGAACCGGCTTGTTGAAGGAGCTGACCCACCTGATAAGGGTCGTATTTTAAATGGTTCATTTTGGAGCGCTATTGTTTGAGCTATCATGGATGGTAAAATTTGCAATTGGTGCTGAAAAATAGACAAAAAAAAGTCACTGTACAACCCAGTCATTAAGAATAGCCAAATTATTGTTCTAATATGCTCAGGTTATGTTCACTAAAAATTTCAGTCAACCCAGCTGTAAATGGATAAGATCAAGAGGTTTGGCCAAAGACCAGCTGGTAGAAAGAATCCTTAACTTTGAACCTAGGTTGTTAACCTTGTAAAATGTAGTTGTTTCTATCTTTCTTTCTATCTTGTTGCATGACAAAGGGACATTTGATTCAAAACCTAGCTATGTGAAAGTTAACACACCTTCATCTCATACATAGATTTCTATCATCATGTCTTTACCTGAGAATGTTCATATATCATAACTGGGCCTTTAAATGATCATCGAAATTAATTTGATCACAGTTGTGTCCACAGAGACAAAACTTAATTTCATGCAGGATCTCTTTTCAATCTCTCCATTATTAGAAGGTTCTATTACATAGAAAGGTTTGTTTCGCTTGATGTTTCCGATCAAGTCCCAAGCTTCACTATTAATTTTCATAATGACATATCAAAGGATTTAATGTACTTTCAACCACCAACAATAGCACAAGGGAAATCATTTTCTTTAATGTCTGGGGGACATAAATATTAATATCAGTGACCAAAATTAGACTTCCAATACAAGTTGCAAGTAATTTATTGTCTACTAGTTGTATATTCCTTCATGTCATTCCCAATTCTCTTGAAAATTAATAACAAATTGATAATATACCAAGCAATTTCAAACTGGTTATAGCGTAAACTGCACTGGAAAAATATAACCAAAAATTGTAAAATCCAGTTCTTATGTATCATTATGATTCAATTCTACAGTCCTCATGTCAACAGGTTGTATTTTTTTGAACATTTCTACTGGTAGCCAAAATCTTCAGAAAATAAATGACACATTCATACTTTACAAGGATAACAACTTTAATTCTCGAGGGTGCTATAGATCCAAACCTCTTGGCATTGATCTATGATTATCCAGACTCATTTACAGCAAGGTTGACTGGAACATAATGACTAATTCAAGGTCATCAGATTTTTACATCCAAATCTAGATCAAACCCTACCATATTTTCAAACCAATCAGCAAAACCGAATGACCTAAAGACCTTTTAAACAGAAACTATTACCTCAATGGTATTTATTTTTAGAGCAATAAACCTTATTCTTTAAAAGAATAAATTACCCACCTGCAGTGCACCAAGAGAATCTTCTATTTTAGAAACCCTCTTTTCCATTTGGTATTGATTTGAATGCATTTCACCAACTAACTCTTGAATATTAACTTGAGTCTAATTAAAGATAAATGGTTAATACATAGAGATTTAATCAAGTAAATTAGATGAATATATTTCAATAATTTATAACGCAATAGATATAGAGATATACGCTTTCATAATTTATAAAGCAACAGTTTAAATCTAACAGTAATATCTATTAACCAGAACAGTATAATTGGTATTCTGTGGAAGTCTCCTAGGAAATATCAGGTTCTTAGGAAACAACTGATACTTGTTTTTTGAATTTAAAAAGTTCTCTTACAAACTTTGAGTATTTAGGAGAGGTAAACAGCCTTTATTCATTGAATAAATGCTAATATGGAATTGTGAATTTATAATTAAATTCTCTTCTCCTAGTAAAAAAAACGCTTAAATTTAGTCCAGGGATATTGATTTTTGTGGGTATTTTTTTCTAGTCATTAAAGCTCGAAAAGCTTGCTTTTGATTTCATTCTTCAGCATAGTTTTTTTTCTATTTTTTTATAATTACTTGAAAATAGGTTACAAATCTTGGACATGCTAACTCCACTTTAAAATCAAGATCTTTACAGTATTGTGTAACATTCAAAGCAAAATCACTGATATAAATATCTGCAAGTTTTAAACTGTTGCTAAATAAAACGAACTAGCATTAAAATAAATTGCGCTGCCAAAGCAAGCTAATGCCAGTTTTAATTCGCATCGCAAGCAGCTGAGTACAACACCAATTCTAGCATCCGATGTAGCCAAATGATAATACAAGATAATTTATAGATAATGATGATAATATTGATACTTAAGATATTAGAATAGCTTTCATTCTAAGAGAAAAAAGTAAACAGGCAAGAAAAGATTAATTTGAAAAAAATTTTTTTTTTTTGCAAAATTGTCCTAAAGCATACACCCACAAAACAATAAGTTTCTGTATATATTAGTATTAAAGATGTTCACAAGCCAAATTAGATATCAAGTTTCACATCATATCAATATACTCAAAATCTAACACATTTTTTGACAATCATATAAGTGCCCATAAAAACATGGTCTAGAACTCAATCCTAAGTAGTCACTTTTTTCAGCAATCAACTCTTTTCAAAACACCTGATGGTACCTCTCTTTGGAGGAATCCACTTCTATACAACTTTTACTCTTGATTTTGCCATGCTTTGGACGAAATTTTTTAATAAAGGAATTGTCTTGCTGGTATGGATTTTCAATCTACATTTTAACGTAATTATGAACTTCAAAATTAATCAACAATTTGGTATATGAATATGAATATGAAAGTCTACAACTTCCACATGTACATATTTTGAAAAAGTCAAGGGCATTAACTCTATAACCCATTGTCCAATTATCATAAAAATCAAATTGAAAAAAAAAAAATTTCCTTGTCAAAACTGTAGTTTCAGATGGACGAAATAGAGCAATAAAACTATAAATAACTTGGGGGGAAAAAAAAAATTCCAATTTAACTGAAAGATGAAATAAAGGGAAGAATCATAGGAAAACAAATATCATTGGACGAATATAAACTTATAACTTTAACCTATACATAGATATAGTTTAAATAACTAATTCAACATGCATGAAAAACAGAAAATTTAGCAGGGTAGTCTCAAAAATAATGGCTAATTTGATGGAAATTTACATGCCTACACCCCTGAATTTCTAGAAACCCTTTTAGTTTATACCAGAGTATTAGTACTAGTGTTTTTATTGTGCTCAAATCATTATCCTGTATAGAAACTAGGTAAAAAAAAACATTACAAATAATTGGATAATAAGTTTTCTTATTTACTAAAGCCCTAGCACCTTATTCTAAATTTAGATATGCTTGATACCCTCACCAAATCATTTGCACACATGACCTACGTCAAAAAGTATGTTACAAAGAAAAATTTTGAAATTGCGAAGATGCCTGTCGGTGTTTGCTAGTACCCCGAAGTTTGGAACCAGGGGGACTCAGAGGCAGTTTCAGCCTGATCTTTTGAGCAAAATAAAGACATGACAGTATATTAAAGTTAATTATACACCAGATGATAAAGACTATAATTCTAAAACAAAAATCAGAACAAAGATTAGAAGTTAAAATGGTAGATTTCATGACAGGAAAACAGCAATTAATAGCAGAATTAGTACATGAAACTGAAAATGATGTTCTCATTTAACAGCACAAAACCCAGTTAAATAAACTGTGTTTCCACTAAGGGAAAAAGCCGGCTTTAAGCTAGCTTTTGTGTGTTTCCACTGGGCAAATTGCAGAACTGTTACTGAACCAATTTATCAGGGGTTAGTTGAAAGCTGGCTATCTTATCTGACACGATAAACTGGCATAATGTATAAGCATAAGACTACCATTTTGAGAACAGTATAAACACATATAAGCAACCTTCACCTTTCCCAGGAACTTTGTTATATTCATTGCCATTGTGTACATGGTGTATATGCAGGGAACTACAAGGACTAATTTTAAACTCTTTAAAAAAAAATTTCCTAGAATACTTTGACGAAAACAGATTCCATTTACACTACAATTGGTTTTACTATCATGTAAGTGGATACAATTTAACACAGCCTAGACAAGATTGAGAGCAGAGCGCTTATAGCAGCCTTGTATTAAATCGGCTTCCAAGTTGTTTTTCAAACTGTACCTAATCTGAATAACCACCTCAACAATGACTAACAGCAATGTTAAAACCTAAAATTCCCAATAATGAATGGTATGATATGATTCATGTGTTAGCTCAACCTTCACATTCACCAAATTAGTAGATTATGCTAGTGTTGCACCTAGAGCATTGAATAAAGACTGAAAATATTGTTAGTGTATTGTTAGATTTTGAAATGTCTTTAAATGGTAATATATTTGAGCGCCAGTATAGCTGCATTTAGATAGCCACAAATTTTATGGCTGAGTCCAGACCCTGTATGGACCAAGTACGGTTCAGCAATATAAAAGTGGCAGTGTAAACAGGTTGAGAAAGTTTCAAGTGGGCCAATTCCCGCAAGAAGAGGTGGTCTCTCTGATAAATATCAGTGCAGTGTAAACGCGCCAGTGGGCCAAGCTGGCCAAGTCCACTTACAAAAGGAAACGTGCGCATGTGAAATAATGACTTTGACCCTATGACATGTAATGTGGTAATAGAATACATCGTGTTTGCAATGGCTTACGCCGTCGGAAAACATAAAATTTTATTTCTTTGCGTCTCAAAAACAAAATTTAGAGATTTTTTAAAAATCGTTTACGCTGTGAACGTGACAAAGTTAATCATGACTTTAAAATCATCGCCTTGTTTATGATCCAGTGAAAACAGCGCTGTGCAAACGGTACCGGCCAGCCAGGCCGAGCACGGTTCACTTCAAGCGGGCTTATTACTATAGCAGTGTAAACGCGGCTTACGATTGCTGATTGCTAGTTTGTATACATGGCTAAAACAAATTCATTAATATGCTTTGACCACCTTAGAGGTCTATATATAAGTTATAAGTATTCTTTATGCATTAAGGAAATTAAAAAAATCAGTCTTTGTTTCTGTTGATAAGATCTGAAAATATTTTTGAAAATGTTTTTAAAAGACGAAGTTTTACTCTCATCATGCTCAGGCAAACAAAAAATGGAGTCATTCTCTAAAAAGACAAATCATGCAAACAGAAAATTAGCAAACAAACTGACTAATTCATTCCAAATGAAAGGGGGTTCAAACCTGCTGATATTCAACATGTGGTATGGAGATATAAACACCATGTCGGGAATCCAAACCTGTCACCCCTACCGTCTAAAATGGGAAAGGAAAGGAAGACATTGGTGATTACAAGTGCAATAGAGATTATGCTGCACTTAAAATGAAAAATTTGACGAGCCAAATGTATTTAACATGAGGAAAAAATGATAAAAGAATTTTGGAAGGGAATTGAAGAATTGGACAATGCCACAGTCACCATTGCTGTTCCGATCCTTTCCCTTTGCTCTTTAACATCAGGAAATATTAACATTTTGGATTTCATAGAAAGAAAGGCCTGTAAGAGCCCAGATTATTTCAAGAGACTGAGAAATTTCCGCACAAAAACTTTTTATGTCTTTTATGAAAAATACCGAAAAATACCCATATTTTTCTTAAAACTTTTTTGAACCCCTGGCTAGATCTATTTTGTCCCAGTCCCTCTATCCACTATGACTCTAGAAGGGAAGCTTTTATTACAGAGGAAAATCAGAAGCTTTCAACAGAAAAATAAAAATTTATAACAAAACATAGAGAAAAAATTAATTTGTGTCTCCTATTCAATAATTAAACAAAATCAATAATATACATTTGCCTATTATCTATTTCAAATATATATTTTATCTACAGCAATTTATTTATTAATCTACATAATTGCCATGGAATTCTGATGATATTGGCCTGTCAGAATCAAAGTTTGATGTATTTGAGAATCATGGTCAGAGAGTTTGAAGTCAAAGAACATATCAAGAATTATATGCTTACATAGAAATAATCATTTTCAGATTATTTTCTGAAATCAATGAACATATTAAGCATCATTGTCTTAAGCCAAATAAATAATCATTTTCAGAAGTCAACTATTTTTCTGAAGTCAATGAACATATCAAGAATTACTGTCTGAAGTCAATGAGCATATAAAGAATTACTGTCTGAAGTCAATGAGCATATCAAGAATTACTGTCTGAAGTCAATGAGCATATCAAGAATTGCTGTCTGAAGTCAATGAATATAATCAACAATTATTGTCTGAAGTCATTGATAAGTCAATGAAATCAATTGTCTCAAATCTTCTATATCATTTCAAATATTGTGTGAAGTCACCAAATCATCCTCTGAAGTTATTAATATAATATTTGTAAATAGAAATCAAAAACGTTGTCATATTTCTTTAATAGATCTTTTGTACTAACTTGATCTTACTGTACTGTATGTAATTTTGAAGAGGAGTTTTATCAAATGAAGATCTAAAACTTTCAAATCTTAAACTATTTTGGGAGAAACAATTTTTATTAATGGATGGAAAGATAAGGAAGTTGTTAAAATATTAGGCAAGGTGAATCTGTGGATGTAGATTTTTAAAAAATTTAAATAAAACTCAAACGATGTGCATAAACTATGATAGGTTTTATAAATAAGTGTCCTAAAAGTATTATGCCAATCACATTTTGAAATTAAAGTCATACTTGACTGGAAAATTTAGTCCAAATAACAGCCCTGATTGTAACTACTCAGTGCCCAAAATAATATCTAGTCTAACTAAATTACATTCCGAGAACAATACAAAACAATCAAGTTTCCATCAGCAGTGCTCTTCTAAATTTTTTTTGGGTAAGAAGATAGATAGAAAAAAAGACAGACAGAAGATAGGTTATCAAATTGAATAATGGATAGAAAGGAAAAATGGTAAAATAAATGAGCATTAAAGGAATAGTGCAAGTCTGACTTAATCAGTCTTCTCTCTATGTGACTGGTTGTCTTAGGATGACAGATTTGTTTTCCTTACATGATAATAACTCCCAAGGTTTTGATGGTAACAAACTAAAATGGCGGCAGCATATAACAGAAGGAATGCTAATACTCTGGCATATGTCCAATTCAATCAATTCCCCCAACAGATAAACATAGAAATTAACGTGTTCACCAAGATTGTCAAATTATGTTTCATTTGATAAAAAAGATGCATGTCAAGTGACGAAGAAAGATCAATTTGATGGTTTCATTTTTGTGGAAAATTTCTAATTTCAAACCCAAAAATGATTAACTAATCAAGATCTGTGTATGGAAATCAGGTACAAATACTTTTTTTGAATTTTTTTATAAGATAGTTGAGGACAAGAACAAATTTTTTCAAGAGTTATGATAACATTTATAAAATTACTATGGAAACCGTCAAATTGACATCTTTAAAAGAGACAATCAAACATGTAAAAAGCAATATAAGTGCAAACAAATTTTTATCTATTTATCAAAATGAAAGCAGTTTTGTCATTTCTGTATCAGAAATCCTATTTCATTTGAAAATGTTCATGGAAAGCGAATGTCTCTTACTTTAAAATACATAGATTAAATTATTAAATGCACAGACACAATATATATCAGGGATTGTGGCCATTTTGACATCTTTGTTACCAACTGCTAGAGTATAATTAGAGCCACCTGTATCACTTTTCAGAATATAATTATTCGATTGAATACATGGAACAATGTATACAGCTTTGCATTCTCCCATGCTGATATTACAGAAAATGTCATGATATCAACAATATATTCAATGGAGATATTCAATAATCAGAAACTTTAGACTATTGCCATTTCAATATTGTAGAGGAACTACAGTTCAATTTTCATTCTCAAAGGTGATATGGATAGCTGAAATTGAGCTCTAATAGTTGGTAAAGAAAATATTTAGATGATAGAATCCTCTATATCATAGAATGTATGTTGATTCAGTTTAATAAAGAATAGGAAAAACATTCACTATATAGTTGAGAGCAAACAGCAAGCTTGTTTCAAATGATCCATTTATTGTGAATAGCTAGAATCAAACAGTAATAGCAAAGTGAGCGAGCACTGAACACAAAGATATTTAAATTGTGAAACATTTTGTGCGTTGTAACACAGAAAATTCAGAAAATGCAATTAAATAAACTCATCATTTCTTGCAATTTTTACAAAATTCTTTCAAAAAACACCAAAGAATAACAAAGAAAACATACTTTGGCCATGTCTATTAAAGTACTTTGATTTTCAGTTAATTTTCGTTGATCCATTTTCACTCGACGTAAACTGAAATAAAATGAAATGAAATGGACATTAATATTTGAGTGTTTCACAAAATGTGATTGTCAATATCAGTTGTCATACAAAGTTTAATAACATGTACTTTTTGCACCACTCAAATTTTCATTCAGATTCTGTGGGTATGGCAATTCTACTAAAACTAAGTCTTTATGTTACAAGAGCTGCTAAAGGCTGTCATAAAATTCTTAGTTTTAATGGAATACCAGGACATGTTAAAAGTTAAAACATAACATCTTTACTATCCCTAAAAGTTCAGAATTCCACTTTTTCTCATACTCTTCTTTCTAGATTGCTGACAAGAGAAAATCTAACTGAACATTTTGACGGTATTACACACAATCTATTATAGAAGAAGAGGATAACGGAGCAAAATGCAAAATGATTTTCTGACCAATTTGGTGTTATCACTGAAGGCAAACTGAAGTTAAAACAAATAAACTAATGACTTGCCTGTGTATTGCTTGTAAAAATTTTCTCTGATGAGCACGAACTCTACCAGCATGGACTTTCTGAACTAATTTTGTATATTTATAAATTAACCATGTTTCTCGTAAAACATTAGCTGCAGCATTTTTTAACTGAAAAATTAAAAAAAAAACTTAATTATGATGAACAGAGCAAATTAAATTTTTTCGGGGCCAGATCCATCAAAGGATTAATTGGCTTTCAAATCTAGGCCATTGGTAAATGATACAGGTCAGAGGTGCTGATATGAAAAAAGGTGACCAGTCGTTTTGATGAGTCAAAAAATTCTGGTTTTGTTTTCTGCAGTCTGAGCATGTTTTAGATCAGTTGACAGTTTGAAATGGTTAGTTTTCTTACTACACACTACATGTTAGCAGCAAAGCAGGATATAAATTCCTGACCATTTCATTTCAAATTTCCTCAGGTCTCCAGCTGTAAATGAGCATGGAAATTCATATCTGAATGATACAGATACAGCAGCCTATTCCGGAAATGGTTTCTTTAATATCCCTTGGTTTCCATGAGGTTAATTATATCTCAGTTGTACATCATCATACAGAGAAAATTGTCTTCGTTATCTAGTCAACATCTAGTAATTACGTCAAACTTTCTCTATCAAATTCCCTACATGCATTCTATGTCCAGAATAGAATTTAATTATGGTAGCTGCGGTTAATCAGTTTTATGTTTTTAATGAGGGAAACTATATTTGTTGCAATACATGATATATAAATTTATTCTTATTAGAACATTTTTGTAATTTAATAAGCGAATATCAATGAAGGCTGTGATTATTAAAAGCAGATATCAATTAGACATGCTGTTGATGATTGTAAAAATCATATTTACAAAATAAAATGTTGAAGAAAAAAACCCGTCCAAATATGAATTAATGATGCTTCTGAACACAACAAATGTCAAAAATTTTGTTGAAGAAATATATAGCTTTTGAACTGCAAATTTAAACAGATCATAGTAGTAATCAAATTTTCTTTAAATTTTGAACAACAAATGCCAAAAAAATTTGATGAAAAAACACCAAATTTAAACAAATCAAATTTCAAGAGATGACAATTTAGTTTATTACAAGGATCAAGATATGTCCATTTTATAAATAAGGCGTATGACAAGTTGTCAATGATAAATCTGGATGTCAATATCTAATGTATGACAAATTGAAACATGTAAGTGTATGATAATAAGAGTTGAAACTATTCTGGATAATGGAGTCTCGAATCAAACCATATCTATCAATTATTGATATTACTATCTATCTTTTACTGAAAGGTCAATCAGAAAAATTAGACAAGATCTTTCTAAAACATGAAATAATTCATCATGAAAAACACTCAAGCTTTTAGAATAACAATATTTTATTGTTTGCTGGGAGATGATATGGAGTTTATTAATATAAAACCTTCAGATAAAAACAACTTGTGGTTAATGGCAAGTAGGTTCCCACACAGTAGCTAATGTCAATTTGATGACAATTGTAGATAGTATCCACCTGCTTTTTGATCCACTTATAGCAACTAGAATCTCCTTTGACCATAAATCATAAAAATGTTTCATATATTTTCCAAAATTAAAAAAATATATGATCAAGACTGGATCACGTTCAAAAGTAATTGGACATGCAAACTGAACATAAATAATAAATGATTTGATGATACATGCGGTTTGTATACAAGTCATCCTTACTCTTTATTCCTGTCAACTCAGCTGTAAATGTGTTGGGAAAGTCAAGGAAAGATCAATGCCAAGAGGTTTGACCAAAAACCAGCTTGAAGAAAGGGTCCTCAGGAATTTGTTATCCTTGTAAAAAGTGGTTGTTTTCTACTCATTTGGTACAATAATCATGATGCTTACCCTTTTTTGCAACTGCGTGTCCATCATAAAATTATGAACATGTTTTTCAGCTCGACTGAGCTCTAATTTTCGAGCTATAACTGCAACAACAAGAGCTGTACAACCAGCACCCTGAAAAACAATTAAACACAAATTGATATAAAAATCATGTTAAAAATAGGTATGATAATAAAATATTAAAATAAAGATTGAATCAACATTAGAACATGCCCACACAACAGAAAAATTTCTTGGCAGCTCTAAAGCTCTGAAGCTAAGATTCAAAATCTAGCTCTCTAAAATGAAGGCAAGATTCATATTTTTGCTCTGTAAAATTTAAGCAAGAATCATATTCTATTTCTCTAAATTTAAGCAAGAATCATATTCTAGCCCTGTAGAATTTAAGCAAGAATCATATTCTAGCTCTGTAAAATTTAGGCAAGTCTCGTATTCTAGCTCTCTAAAATGAAGATAAGTTTCATAAACTAGCTCTGTAAAATTTAGGCAAGTCTCTTATTCTAGCTCTCTAAAATGAAGATAAGTTTCTCTCAACTAGCTCTTATAAAATTGAGGCAAGATCGATTAAGATCTCACTCTTCAAAAAGAACTTAAATTTCCTTTGCTAGCCCTCCTAAATGAAGGCAAATACATACTCCATTCATTTACTGGAAATCAAATACCACCAACTTGTTTTAATGATTGTAACCTTTTGGCGAAAAATGCCAACTGTTCTATTTTGATGATGTTTAAGAACATTTACTTAATACTGGGCCAAGTAACAAGGGAAAATGATAAAAACGTTTTGATAAATTACCACCATTTAAAAAGAAGTTAACATAACACATAACTCTCTAAAAGATCCACTCTTTTGTATTTCAGAAAATGATTTTAAATATATTTATTTAAATGAGTTCATTAGGAATTGCATCCTGCAGTTCACTATGTTACAATTTTGATGAAGCTAGAATGTACAGTCAAACTGCATTTAACAGGTTATTGACAATCCTCTAATCAAAGGCGGGATAAAATTTCAGTCTTCGTTAGTCTCTATTGTTTTACTGATTCAGATCTGGCAATGGAAACTAAATACAAAATATATTGCTGTCCATGTTGTAAATAGCTTATTGATTGCAAAAAATATTTCCCTTTCTTACAATATTAATCACAAGGGACTGAATAAACAAAACATATGTTACCTTCGTGGTCTACGATTGCATTTGTAAAAGGAAATGAAATTGAGCGTCAAGAGGGGTGGGCCTAAAGTTACAGTGATAAAAGGAAATGAAATTGAGCGTCAAGAGGGGTGGGCCTAAAGTTACAGTGATAAAAGGAAAAAAGGAAATTGAGTGTTAAAGATGGGTTCCCTTCTTTTCATTTATAAAAGTGAAAATGCTAATACTTATATGAATAGAAAGTAGAGGTGTTCTAATGACTTGGAAAAATACCAGTTTGTCTCCCATGTCCATAATGAATTCATAATTAGCTAAATTAGAAGAGAATTACCAGCAGAATTCCAATGAGTGACTGATCAATAAAGGTCAAAAAGTCTTTTTTTGTTTATCCAGACTGTACATACATGAGCATTTATGATTGGTTAAAACTCTTTATTATATGCAATCAGAACATAAAGATATGATTAAGAATACATGATAATTCATTAAAAACACCAATTTGTCAAATAGTTTGCTTAATTTGACCCTAAAAATTATGGAAACCGATCTTCAACATGAATGTTCCTACAATTAAAGTGAGGAAAGGAAATGAAATTGAGTGTTAACATGGGTGGGTCTAAAATTACAGTGATGAAAGGAAATGAAATTGAGTGTTAGCATGGGTAGGCCTACAATTGCAGTGATGAAAGGAAATGAAACTAAATGTTACATGGGTGGTCCTACAATTTCAGTAATGAAAGGAAATGAAATTGAGCGTTTAACTGGATAGGCCTACAATTGAAGCAGTAAAATGAAATGATACTAAGTATGTCATAAGATTTTTTAAGAAATATTTTTCCGTCCTCAATCAACCATACAATATCTCATAAAATTGCTTTTAAACCATGTGGTCGTTAGAGACAAAATTCATGTTACAGAGCAGAATAGGTTATGTTTCTTTTGAACAATCCATCTTGCGTGGCTTATGAAACTTGAACACATTAAAATTTTTTTTTTGTTTACAATGGACAGGAATCCATCATATGCATCTGGCTTTAGCTTATTAGAGCTTAGAATGAGGAAAATTTTGTCAGCAGAGGTCATTAACAAAAACAGTTTTTGATTTCAAGTTTTATTGTTGTTCATCCCTAATCATGACCAAACCCCATCTCATGTCTATCTCTGCATCGTGGACAGGTTTAAAAAGTTGAACATTTTCAGTGGTAACATCATAGAGCCTCTGATGAACTACATATTCAAAGCATACTCTAACAATACAAGATGTACATGTAGATCAGTTACATGTTATATATATGATCTTTAACATATGGAATATTTGGACTGCCAGGAATATATGAAACAGGTGAGAAAGAGAACAGTGGAAATATGAAAATGCTGTGAGATGTAATATATGCCAGATAAAAAGCTCATTGATAGGTTTCAGTCGGTATCTTGTACATCTATTTTAAAATCAGACATTCAAGGGTATAAAATAAATTGATGTTATTTGGCAATTATGTGGTGTTGTAAAAACGGCCTTTTAGTGTGTAAAAACCCAAGTAAAAGTTTCAAAGCAAAGTACAATTAAGAAGAAATCAATCAAGAAATATGCACTTGAAATCTAGAAAAAATGCAGAAATTTTTTCGAAACAAGTACGATTGCCAAGGGGGGGGGGGGACTCAGTACTACAATTGAATTCAACTAGTGGATGCCATAGGAAGACATTTTTTAGGTTTACAGTATTCCTCCATTTTATAAATTGTTTGACTGCCACAGTTTTGGCATGAAACAAACAAATAAAAATTGTGGTAAAAAAGAGATATAAAAACTGAAGAAATAACGAAAACAATATAAAACCTTAAATAATAATTCACTTTCAGTAGGATTATTTGCAATCTCCTTGTGACAGATTTGAAAATTAAATTTCGTGTCAAACCGATTTTCTCAAGTATTCGTGATGTTTGCTCGGTTCTTGTCATGCTAAAATGTCCAGTATGGATATCAGATTTCCAATATAAAATAAGATGTCTTGGAGACAATACATATCACTGGTTTCCATGGCAACATAAATAATACTATTACATGTTGATCAAAGAGATATATTAGGATTGATGGCTAAAACAGAAACAAGAAATAAAACAAAATGTCAGAGTGACCATTTTCTGATTAAATTTTTTCCAGACTTGATGGAAACATATCTGGACATTATCATTCTGTCAAGAAACCAAAAGAGAAATTGATTGACATTTAATTATCTATGTACTTTTCTATGATATTGTCAAAAAAAAGAATTTTGACTAATCATGATGACTTAGATAACCAAGTAAGGCCTACGGATTTTGCTGAAATTCGCTAATTAGATGATTTTAATACATATTATATCACTTAGAAAAGTGAGGAAATTTCTAAAAGTGAAAAGATAATTGAGGAATTTTTTAATTCTGAATTCAAACCAAATTAAATTTTAATAAGCATCAATAATATATTAAACCCAGAATGTATGATTTGAATTATTGCCAATTAAACTCTGATATATAGTCCTTGCTATGAATCTCAAAATTTCGGCTCTTAATTTGGCTAAAGAAAATGGACATTAACAATATATAGTACACAAAGGGAAAGGTTTGTAGAACAACAGCATGAGCCTTCCCTTGTCTCAAATTTTCATAGCCGATAGCAACATTGTTCATTGTCCTGTTCCATAGATTACACGCTTCCTCCATGTCAACCCCTTTCACTAGAATTACTTGAAGTGGGAAAATCCGAAGTCAGACTTAAACCCAGGGACTATCAATAAGCACAAGCTCATGTCAATCGAAATGAAATGACAAGGTTTAACTGAAAAATTTGAAAGGTGGTCTTCATAAACTGTGTTTCCACTGAAGGAAAAAAGCCGATTTTCAGCTAGCTTTCATGTGTTTCCATGGAGAAAATTGCCAAGTGTACCTCTCTTTTTGTGTTCGGCATTTTATTGGGGGCCAACTGAAAGCTAGCTTAAAGCCAGCTTTCACTTAACCAATGGAAACGCAAAAAGCAAGCTTTATCTCACTGGCAATAGGAGCGTACTGGTTTTTCCCGTCTATTGCATTTCTTACTGGTCTAAAACAGTAGTCTTGTACATCATGAGTTGTCAATAATTTGCGACTTTGTGATGGAGGCTAAGGTCTTTCGGGAACCTGTTAAACTCAGTGTAGGCGCAATGTGTTCCGCAATAAAGCTGGTTCTAAGCTAGCTTAACTTCACAATTCTCAGTGAAAACGCGGTTATAGGTTTTGGTGATTGAAATTCATAAGAAAACACCAACGCCAAAATAAGAATTCAAATATTAGGAATTAATGAAGCTGAATTGCGTTTGTATAACAATAAGTCTAGTTTTCTGTCTGCATACAAATTACTGGACCAATGTGCCATAATAATTACATGATAGAAAATAATTATAAACTTCTAGTCTAGCTATTACTTTTATTACATAATAAACTATTCTTTCATTATACAATCTAAAAAAATACAGTAGACCCTATACCAAAAGTATAATCATGTCCATGAAATCATTAAGTATAATCATATCCATAAAATCATTAAGTGTAATCATATCCATAAAATCATTAAGTATAATCATATCCATGAAATCATAACAAAAGTATAATCATATCCATGAAATCATAACAAAAGTATAATCATATCCATGAAATCATAACAAAGGTATAATCAGATCCATGTAATCATAACAAAAGTATAATCAGATCCATGAAATCATAACAAAAGTATAATCATATCCATGAAATCATAACAAAAGTATAATCAGATCAATGAAATCATAACAAAAGTATAATCATATCGAGGAAATCATAATTTGATTTTTCAATACCAGATTATTTAAAATGTTGTTTACAACAGATAATATAGCTCAGATTCATTACTGTGTAATATGAAGCGAATGCATTAATGGGGTAAGAGAGATATCATAAATAACACATATACCTGGCAACATAAAACCCTTTTACATTAATATATTATCTGGTTTCAGAAAAAATAAATTTTATGTAACGGAAGCAGGCAAGCAGTGCTTCCGATGCTGTTCTCAGAACCATTCTCAGAACTGACAACTGATAATATAGTTAAGTGGTCCAACAACCTTTGCGATTTACACTACAATTGAAGAACCATTCTCAGACCACTTGATTTGTCAATGGGCATATTTCATTGCGACATGATTCGGACTGAGAAGAAACTGCTTGAAGGGAAACTGGTGTAAAAGGGCTATAAATAGAAATGGTTATTAAAATACCGAATGTCTGCTAACATGCTAGTAGTTACATTAATACCTTTAATCACATAGCTACCAAATGAAATGACATGGAAGATGAAGACACACGCCATGCAGTATACAATGAAGGAAATTTGTCATGACAGCTGCAATGGCAGACTTTAGTTCAATTTCCAACAGCCTTGAGATCATTAACATGTTCAGCCTTCAGTAGGGCCTACACGGGGTCTTAGTTTATTGTTCCATCCAAACAACTCAAGACAGCTATAAATAGTGGCTTCTGTGACATGAATGGAACAAGGAATCTCTTTTTCAGACAAAACAGCAATTTATATCTTGAAATTGCATTGTATGAATAATCTTGAATAGTTTTACAAATAGTTAGATTCATTTAGTATTAATGAATTATGGACAAGAGGCAGGGTATTCAGACAACATGGCTGCCACATGGTTACATTAAAAACCTCTTAAATTCACTCTTGTCATTTTGATGATGATAGCAATCAAGGAAAGTGATAAATAGATCTAGTGATAATTTTTTTTAGCTTGTGTTGAATCATCAGAGGCCTGCTTCATTAAGAACCATCATTGATAAACTATGATTCTGGTACCCATCTACACTTTATGCTTGTAACACTGGGTTAAATTAACCAACCATGAATTTCATTAAAATTTTTGATCTGATGAAGTATGTATCTTTTGAAAAAAATGGGTTAAACCACATTATTTGGCATATACATATAGGTTAATAAGTGGGAAAAAAATGGCAGGAATGAGAAAATGACAAAGGTATTAATAAAATATAATGCCATGCTAAATAAAAATTAGATACACAATTTCTCATTAAACCATAAAGAATCATAAATCATGAACTATGAAACATAGATCATTAATTATTGAACAAATCAATGCTGAATAAGGTGGCCCAGGGGAGTAAATTGATGGCACACAAAGAGACTTTCAGTTGGTAACTGAAAAGTCACAATTAATCAAGATACATAACAAAAAGAGCGGGAAAATAGAATATGATGTCATTTGAATAATAGTGAATATCAGCATACAATAAGCTAATGAGTGAGTGAGATCTAACGATAATGAGTATTTTTCCACTATAATGACTAAGTGGTGTGATCAAACAAACTGTAATTTCAAACGTAATCTACCTAGTTATGTTGAGTAATTTATTCATGAGCTGCTTAGAATTTTTCCCAATAATTTGTGAAAATTCACATCTTCTATGTATTGAGTCTGGTTTTGGGCTATTTTCACTCAACATTCATTTCAAGAGACACCATTTTCCACTTCATGTCGTCAGTTTTTACACGATAGAATACAAAGGTGTAAAGTCTGCTGACTAGTCATGTTTTGATGACTGTCTGATATCTTACAATGGAATAATTAAATTCTCAGTCTTGTTGTTATTCCTCACATCACTCAAACACACTGATCTATCATTCCTTTATTCAAGCAGACATGATTAAAATGAAGACAATATTACAAGACTTGCACCCTCTGTGGTTTTCTCTTTTTTCCCTCTTAAAAACACCAATGTTAGGAATTTGTTCCAGGAAGAAAACATCTAGTCTGGAGCACCAAGACTTACTTCACACAAAAACAATTTTCTACCTCCAGCAGTTAGAACTTGTCATGTGGTTCTAATAATTCGAAAGGTAATGTTATCTGAAAAAAATTTGTGACTTTCAATCACTAACTGAAATATGTTTCTGATCAAAGAAATCTGTCTAATGATAAGACATTTGATCTGCTCTTCAAAAAAATAGGAAAGAAAACAAGTTTTAATATATTGTATGAATTTCTTGTTATTTCTATAGATCAAAGGTTCAGAAAATTTCTAATGCAAAAGAATGGAATGGTCTCTAATTAAAGAAAACATCTAAGATCTAAAATACAAGAAATCAAAAACACAAATGAGTTGCCTGTTTTTCTCTTTATAAATCCAATGAATTGATACCAAAAATATGCTGTGATAACAGTAAAGACTTTGCATACCATTTTTTGACTTATAACTGGCATCAAAACCAAACTGGAAAAACAAAACAGCTCTGAAACTCTTTGAGTAAGCCATGAACATTGTAAATTCAGATGATTTCGAAGTGTATGAAGAAGTGCTAGGCACCAAAATAGATGATTCCTTTGATTTTAAGTAATTTTTTTTCTTCATTGCATACAAGGCCACAGTAAGACAATTAAAAAATGAACGAAAAAAGCCCAAAATTTTGTAAAAGCACTTTAGTTAACTGAGTAAAGTGAATTAGAGAAAATAAGAGATGGTTGATTCAGTGTACTAGAGTCACTCTAAAATAAGATGAAATTTTAAAGAGCACCATTTTTTTTTTTTTTTTTAAGGCATTTTCATAAATGCAGGAATTCATAATGCTAATTCTAGACAAGTTAGATGCCTACAATGGTGTATGTACCAAAGTTATTCTAAATTTAGATAACATTGTAAGTGCATTAAGAAGTGATCAACAGTAGAATCATTTTAGATTTTTAAATTTGTACTTTTGGCTATTTATTGTTGAGTTTATGTCTAGTTTGTATTGTTTATGTCTATAAATATGATGGTGTTGGAATCACACGCTGACAACGAAGAATCAAACTTCATTTTTATTGGCCCATTATACACAGATTTTATCATTTAGACTACACCAAGTTACTTTTCGCATGTATGTAAACATTGAAATGTGAATATACAATCCAGATGCATTTCTATTTATAACCCATAGACAAGGTATGTGCTAGAAATAGTTCCCTTGCAGAAAAAAGTCTTCCATTAGTTACAACCAATTAATCAAAAAAATATTTTCAGGTTAAGATGATCGAATACAGTTCTAGATTTATTGCATTTGTATTTATTTTTGTGAGATCCTGTTAGCTCCGACAAAATCTCTTTCTATAAAATAAGTTAGATGAATTGACATTTTGATTTTCACAAACTACACGCAAACTCACCAGTCAGAAAAGAATACAACATGAGTGATAACAAAGTTTTTACTGAATAGATCATTTGATTGGTTAAATTTGAGAACACACATTTCTAGCAAATGTTGTTAGAGCAGAGTGAAGTAATTCTTAGTGGATATTCCACATACTTTGGCATTTGTAAAGTTTTAAATTGGTCCCGGTTGTTCCCTCAATTTTGTCACTTTTGTTTACCAGATATTTGTAAATATGGTTTTTGACCACTTCTATTAGAAAAGAAAAGCAGAATAAGAGTAGCGCTTAAGTTTAAAAAAATTTATAACTCCAAAAAATAATTTTCAAAACACTTCGAAAAAAATACAATAGATCACATGAGTTGAAGGTTAAGCTATATTTTATAGTAACCACAGCAAAAGCAAAATGTAGAAAAATAAAATAACTTACCATTACACCAGTACCTATAGCTATACCACGTCCACAATATGTATTAGGTACAATATCACCATAACCAATTGATAAAAACGTAATAGCTATCATCCACATAGAATTTAATATATTAGCATGATTCTCATCATGATAACTGAAATATACAAAAATTATCATTTACATAGAATTTAATATATTAGCATGATTCTCATCATGATAACTGAAATATACAAAAATTATCAATTACATAGAATTTAATATATTAGCATGATTCTCATCATGATAACTGAAATATACAAAAATTATCAATTACATAGAATTTAATATATTAGCATGATTCTCATCATGATAACTGAAATATACAAAAATTATCAATTACATAGAATTTAATATATTAGCATGATTCTCATCATGATAACTGAAATGTACAAAAGTTATCAATTACATAGAATTAAATATATTAGCATGATTTTCATCATAACTGAAATATACAAAAGTTATCAATTACATAGAATTTAATATATTAGCATGATTTTCATCATGATATCTGAAATGTACAAAATTATCAGTTACATAGAATACAATATATTAGCATGATTCCCATCTTGATAACTGAAATACAGGAGTAAAAAATTATAAATCTTTTACAAAGAAGTTAGTATTTTAGCACGGAATTTTTGAGTAAGTATGTCTTTTCCTTTTTTTTTTTCATTTTGACTTCACTTATTCGCGGATTGATTTTCTTCCATTTGCTTACAGCTCCCAATTCTAAATCAGAACCATGAAATAATATTATTCAGACATTGCTTACAGGCATGTTTAATAACATAATTGAATTCATTTCATAAACACAGTTATTAAATGGCACGTCATGTCAGACTTTCTATTTAGTATTCATAATATAATAGAGGAAATTTACTAATTCTGTTTCCGTCTTAACCTGTAGTATAGACATGTATATGACTGCTTGTCCTTCTAATGACCTCAGATCATCCGTTGATGGTCAACTTTGACAGTTTATGGAAACTAACTCCTGAAGGGCTCATTAGATGTTAAATAGTAACTATTAGTAGTCAGGGCGGGTCTCTTAATGTCAATTAAATTGGATTTAATCCTGATATATATGATAGACTATGATGTAAATGGCGTCCTTCAAACCACAGATAATGAATGGCTGAATCCAAATAAATAACATTTAAGTCTATTCAAAGTCGCCCATCTTGGAGATCTTGAGACAGAACATATTTTCAATGTCTATGTCTTTGATTCATATGCAATTGACGAAGTTAAATAAGACGAAGTTGAAGGGAATGATTAAATTCTGGTCTGGCATTTGAATAAATTGCTGTATACTCAAGGAAATTGATAGTAAACCGAAGCACATGTTCTCTTGAAGGACAAACATGGACCTTAGAATATGAGTACTGGAACTCATAGCTTGTTTAACAGTTAACCAACTCAATTGCAGAATGGCATCTGGCTTTATATGCTCTGCCTCTTGCACAAATCTGTTTTTAAGCAAATAAAAGGCAATCAAGTGGCTGGCAAGCCAAATTTTGGTGGTGGTTGGTGTTTCAAGTCATCTTATCCAGATTTCATGTTTGAGTTTGTAAAAATTTATCAGGTACATGAACAATCAATTTTCTCATGTTTACACAGATTCTAAACTAAACCTGCTCTGTTGAAGAACTCAAGATTTATATTTTTGGTAGTAATGTCAACACATGTGGAAGCTTGCTGATTATAAAACAAATTGAAACAGCACTTGGGTAAACTTTAGGCACTGAGTTCTGGTTGAAGCAATCAATTCCCTGGACTGCAATTGAATGGAAAAAGCATGGAATATCTTTTAGTTGATTAAAGATGATTTATTCAGACCATATCCTTATTTAATGCACTGAGCTTTAAATCTTATTGTTTGACATGCAATCATAGTTCTGCTATCCTGCTGGGCAAATCATGTTAAGTCTGATGTTTATCAATATCCAGTGGGAATATCATAAATAGCATCAAATATAACATTACTTTAAATCATTGGAGTTTGTTGGCTTTGATCTTAAATGACCTTGTATGCTGACCTGGGACAGCAACAACTAAGCTTGGACAGCAACATGTTCACTCAACAAAGTCTTAGTTTGTAACTTTGTAACCATTACTTATTGACCATAACTTAGATTGTAACTTACTAACCATTACTAAGCCTTAGATTGAACTCTTCTGGTCATAACTAAGACTTTGATTGTAACTTACTGACCATTACTTAGCCTCAGATTGTTACTTACTTACCATTACTTGGCCTTTGATTGTCACTTACTGACCTTTACTTAGCCTTAGATTAAAACTTACTGACCTTTACTTTTGCAACTTACTGACCTTTACTTAGCCTCAGATTGTTACTTACTTACCATTAATTAGCCTTAGATTGAAACTTAGGGACAATTACTTAGCCTTTGATTGTCACTTACTGACCTTTACTTAGCCTTAGATTAAGACTTACTGACCTTTACTTTTGCAACTTATTGACCTTCACTTAGCCTCAGATTGTAACTTACTTACCATTTGTTAGCCTCAGATTTAAACTTACTGACCTTTACTTAGCCTTAGATTGGAACTTACTGACCTTTACTTTTGAAACTTACTGACCTTTACTTTTGAAACTTACTGACCTTTACTCAGCCTTATATTGAAACTAACTGGAAACGTACTGACCTTTACTCAGCCTTATATTGAAACTTACTTGAAACTTACTGTCCTTTACTCAGCCTTAGATTGAAACTAACTTATCCTTACTTAGCCTTATAGTGAAACTTACTGACCATTACTAAACCCTACATTTGAATTTACTATTACTCTCCTAACTCTTTTAACTTGCTGACTATAACTGACCATTACTAAACAAAAATGGTACAGACCATAATTAAGCGTTAGATTGTAACTTACATGGCTTTATATCAAAAATTGTACTTTTAATTTAAAAAATGTTTCCTTAGCTAAAAGAATACTGGAAATGGTCACGATACTCTAAAAATCTTTTGATCAAGTATTCCGCTAACAGTGACATGCTATCTATCATTGATTTATAAGCTTTTCAATCGTCTGTGAGGAATATCAGGAAAGAGTCTCGAGAACATTAGTTCTGGAAATTAGATCTTCAATAAGAAGGTGAAAAAAGTCTAAGATAAATACTTTCACAGACATTTAGTATTTATTCAATAAATTCTCTTATTTAAACATCACTCTCTTCTTAATCAACATGTTTGCATACCCTAGCTGGCATCTGGCCTTGATAACAGTCGACAAGTTCACACAGTAAATATAACAAATCACAACTTTCACATCCCAGCTTCATCTCTTTATTTTCAACTTAATTCTTCCAACTATAAACAAGTTGATAAAGATGGCAGACTAGAAGATGTAAAATGGTATCTGGTTTTCTGTAAAGCTGTGTCTACACTACAACTTCTGTAGCGATGCAAATATTAAATTTGTCTACCATGATAAGCATTATGCACCACGAATATGTATGGAATTTCCACCAACCCCCCTAGGTTTTAGACCTTTCTTTGCAAAAAATGCCAAAGTCTTAGTATACCCAACCTCCTTTCTTGTTACATTGCATTTTGGTCTGAAGTGCCACACATATGAACAGCTAAATTTCTCAACAGGCTTATTAACAGCAGCATTTTAGGTTAATTTACATGTAATTTACATTTACAAATAAAACTATCACCTACCCTTCAATACTTAAAAAATGGTATGCTTATACCACAATAACTTCATTTTTCAGAACCAGAATATTGTAAAACCAAAAAGTTCGCATATAACTTCCGCACTTGTCCATGTTTCGGTTAATTTGTTATTTTTGTTTATATTACACACTTATGATTGATATACTTTCTCATGTGAAAAGTTCATTAGCTGCTACCAATATTTCGTTTTGCGGTTAAGAGAGTTTTTACTTGGATTATTTATTCATACAATAAGGGAGACATTAAGACATTGTTTTGGATAATTCTATATTTTGTGCTTTTGATCTAAGTTGGGGTTAAATGCTCAAACAATCTGAACTTTAAATGTAGACTGATGCCTAAATTTTCCGGCCTGATGTTACTTTCTTCAATAAAAGCTGAAAAGTAGGTTATACAACTCATACATTTCTTTCCATTTTATGTCAAAAGCCCTCTTATATGAATAGACAGAGGTTTGAAAAACTGCTTATCTATTAGATTTGCTTTCAAAGATAAACCAAACAATCTGATTTACTTCTATCAAGCACTGAGGGAAATCTGATAAAAGTTTTCTAAGGAAGTCATTTATTTGAGACTTGGAAAAGAAATAGGAAACGACCTAGTGATAAATTGAATAAAATCTGGGTTATTAATGCCATTACACTGTGTTCATTCAGATTGGTGTAAGAGATACCTTAAATTTAATAACAAATGTGAGAAATAAGCCAGTTCATATGAACCTGCACAACTTGTTGGAATTCCATTAGAAATGTGACATATTTCAGATGTGCATCTGTATGTCAATGAGAAACCCATTTCATATTATTTTCATATTATTATCAGTTATTATCTTCAATTTTGTTATAATTATGAACTCTGAATGAGAGACAGATTTTAGCTGCGAATGCAAGTTATGAAAAATCCTAAGAAATATGAAAAGTCCAAAATAAAAACAAATTACAATTCAGTATTGGACCTCAAATGAAACAACATGTCTGGCAACAAAGAGTTCACTCTGAAAGTTACTTTATTGTTCTGCAATATAATAATGGTGTTGAATGACATTAACCATTATTACTTGAGACTTGCAGATTGTCAAGGTATCACATAATTATCGTAGCAGAAACTGCTTTAAGTTGTCAGATGTTCTAGCAAATTACAGAAAAATCTGAAACTCTTGCTAGAGTTAATATAATATAAAACCAATTTTTTTTCAGGTGAGGGTAATTACATGTTAAAGTATACAATGATGCTGTGGTATGAACTCAAGTGATATCAGGTGTTCTTTATCAAGTTCTTGTTGTAAACAAGTCTAATATAATTTCAATACAGTAAATGCTAATGACCAAGAACTAATGAGGTCAAAGGTTACACATAAATTTGGCAATAAATACAAATTCCCTACACTAATATAAATCATTATGACAATTTTCCAAATCATTTGATAGAAGTAACATAGTAATCTCATTAATTATTGGCACAAACCTCATAATAAAATTCACGGGGACCATATTGGAGGACTTAAGCCGATTTCATGAAAACTCAACTAAGCGGATTTCAGTAATCCACTAACCTAAGCCTGTTGCCCAAATAGTTCTAGGATCGAACTGTATGAAAAGTACAAACTATTACATGTTATTAATGAAACTAAATGTAGGCTAACTTTTAATGATCAATTTTTGTGTTTAAACCAGGGTTTCTGATTTGTAAATCATTGAAATTGTTTTTAAATCTTATTGTCAAAAATGCAAAAAAGAAAATCTGATATCCATATCTTGTTACAGTTAACCTTTTAACTGCCCAAATAATCAAATTAAAGTCGATATCTGTATGCAAATGACTTCATAAAATAACAGACATCATTGCAATGTGCAATTAAATTCATTCGTCTTTCTACAAATTTAACAATTTTCAGTAAAATATTCATGATTTTATTTGGTATTTATATATAAAAAATTACAACCAATGTTAAAGGCCACAATATGCCATTTGCGGGAGTTGATTTGGGTGTTGAATATATGCAAATAGTCTTCAGAAGTACTAGTAAATGTACAGAAATCATATGATTTCTTCAAAAATATCTCAACTATGAATTTTTTTGTCTATTTCTATATATATATATCTTTTCTATATATATGGCAGAGACTCAAGAAATCATTTAACATTCAAACACAGATAATTCTGGATACACATGGATTTGAAGGCTAAAATTTTGACGGTGAAATTTAAATACTATTAATGATTGACTTAGATAAACAATTCCTTCTTCTGAGATGAAAATGGTAAGATGAATGGCGAACTTGTCCGTGTTAAATGCATCATCCCTATCTCTAAGCAATATCAATGGTAGTTAAAGGTGCAATATTGGAAGTTAAAATTTCATCTTGGATTTAATGAAACCTTTCAAAGTGATATATAGAAATGCCATTATATAATAGATTTTAATCAAAATATCACCTAGTTCACTCATACTACTAACAAATACAGAAATAAATCTACATCAGAATATTATTGTCTGATTTTCTAAAAGCTTTTCAAATAAATCTTTATGACTAGTAATTTAACAAAATATTGATAATAATAATAAAATACTTTAATTGATCTGTCACCTTCATTATCACTTAAAAAGTCAATTAATTTTAAGAGGCTTTTATCATAAATTCTACACATCCAATCATTTATCTAGCTATTTATTCTTTAAAGAGCCTCTCTAACATGGAAACAAATCTTACTTGCATAAAACTTACTTACATCTGTCATATCTCATTAGCAAACAGTGGCACAACAGTGCTTATTTTTTAGTGTCAAATTAAGCCAACTATTTGGTTAATTGGTGTTTCTAAGGAATAAATCATTATGTTCTTATTGCATATGATTCAGAGTTTTAATCTTAAATGTCTGTATATGTACAGTCTGGATAAACAAAAAAAGACTTTTTGACCTTTCTTGATCGGTCACTCATTGGAATTCTGCTGGTATTTCTCGTCTAATTTAGGTAATTATGAATTAATTAAGGACATGTGAGACAAACTGGTCTTTTTCCAAGTGACTGGAACACCTCTTTGTTCTATTTATATAACTGTTAGTATTTTCATTTTCATAAATGAAAATAAGGGAACCCATCTTTAAAGTAGCATAATATGGGATACTGGTAAAATAAAATTTGTTCTGTCATAACCAAATCTGATTGGCATGGGGTTTGGTGAACTAGAATAAGTCATCTTTCACATTATTCAAATTCAACCCAGCTGTAAATTAGTAAGGATAATCCATGAATCCATAGGTTTGACCAAGGACCAGCTAGTATACACTCAAGAACATAACTTTTCTTGTGCTACAAGTTTTAGAGCTGACAATCTGAGATTTGGCCTGGGTAAAGTTTTACACCATATCTAACTGTATCAAGGGATTTGACAAGATAATTCTTTTCCAAAAGCAGTCACCAGTTTTTATTCTTCAGTTAGGGTCTAACGACAACCCTCTTGAACATTTGTCAAATTAACCTTTTGACCTAACCTGATAAACACAGGATCACAAAATGCCAGCGCTGGAGAGGGTAGAAATTTGATTGGTTAAAGCAGACATCATCGAGTAAGGTCAAGAGGTTAATTTGATGAATGTTCAAGAGGGCTGTCGTTGAGACTCCAACTGAAGTGACTATATGAAAGATAAAAGTTATAAAACCAACGGAATACAAGTTCTATGTAAATTTAATAAGACAAGTTTTAACAAATCTATGCTGGAATTGTTATTGGATGCAAACCATTAGTTTGACATCAATAATGTTCTATGTTATACAGGTAATATAGAATTTATGAAGGAAGCTACTAAAAGTTTAACTTAAGCAGAAGAGTAGTTAACTCATGAAATTGTGCGTGTTATTACCATTGAAGGTTGACAGAAAACATTTAACGTTGATTTCATTTCAGATCATTACTATTTCCTTCTTTGCTCAAAAATTTAGGTCCAAACATTGGAAATTCAACCAAAAGTGTGAAATGAATTGTCATATGACATAGCTCGTATCATGTTTACTAAAAGTTTATTCATTTGTGATCAAAACTATCACCGCGGAAACACCTTGTGTAACAAAGGATACTAAATGTACTAAAGAAATGAATCTCCAAAATCTTGTTCACAGATCACAAAAAAGGTTTTTATGAATTTTTGATAAAGTTTTTATTATTTACTGTGTTAATAATGTAAGATGTGATGATGTTCTATTAATATAATGTCACAGACATTTGACTTTCTAATCTCATTTCTTTACTTACTCTTACTCTAGTCTGGAAATTTCTATGAAATGATTTAAATACTAAAAGCCAGGAATAAATGGACAGATTTCTCTCGCCATTCTTATTAAGAAATTTTCCAAAAGATATTACATGGTCTGTACTGACCTAAAATCTAACCTCATCATTCATTTGTGATAGCATACTGTGAATTCATGAAATGATTCTCTTTGGACCAAGGAATGTATACCTTAATATTTCTATTTATACTGCCTCTTTGTCACACCATGTATACTGAAACAGGCTGGGCCTCAGTTTATTACTCATCGGACAAGTATAGCTATCTTGGTATGTTTCCTGTCTTTATGCTATGGTATTCACCTCATCATAAAAAGTAGCACCAGCCAGGATTTTTTGCCCATATATGTCAATTCCAGCAATCTGAGAACTATGTCTTTCTCTGCTAAGAGGAAAGGGGCCTGCCCTGGGAATTAAGAAAAAGAAGCCTGTTGATCAATTCCAGGGATTTGGGAAAAAAAACATTTCCTCTGTGTTGCCAATGGTTACTATGTCCTTTATTAATAGCACTCTTAAATTTACATCTGAAAGTTTGAAAACAGGATTAAAAGTTCAATTGTTTAGTCATATTTTTTTTTTTAAATAAATCAATAACCATCCTTTTCAATCTCATCCTGCTGAAGAGTTAAGTTTATTTTTTCTTCCTCCTACACTTTTATCAACTTGTTTCACTGTGTTTTACTTAAGTTATTTAATTGATTTAAAAGTGCAAATTGAAGTGTTGTTTTTTCTGTTAACACCATAAAAGTAGTTATTTCAATAAATCTACTGATTTATTCTGAATTTGAAAGTATACATTGTCACAAAGGAGTATGAATTGTGCTACTCTTATTGCATACAACAAAACCATGTTACATTACTTCCTTCTAGGCATACTCATGTATTAACTTGTTTGACTGTTTTTTTACTCAACTTGTTTGACTGTTTTTTTACTCAACTTGTTTAGTTGATTTGACTGTGAAAATAGAACTGATTTTTATAAACCATAATGAATGTTGTTTCACTTGTTACATTTGAAGTGGAATAATTTTTCTTGTCATCTATTTTTAATGATGAATAGCAGTCAAATGAGATTTTTAATGATGAAATGCAGTCAAATGTCTGTGGGTCTTGCAATTTCATTTTAACTAAGAATTATGTCACCAAAGCAAAAGCAGTAAATAATTCATAAATGTATTAATAGCTTTTGCAAATAGTGACGTCATAGCTTTTCTTTAAGAACAGGAACCACAACCATCTGATGCAATGATGCAATTAATATATATATATAGGGCCATATTATACATAAACAGATAACCTTTTTACAATACCTTTAAGCACTTCCATCTAAAAATATTTACATCAGAATTGTGCTATTTGGAAGCTGTAAGTGTTATATCGGCAATTGCCAGCCAGTAGCATATGGTAACGTATTTCTACTGTTCACACTGTCAGAGCTTATGACGCATAAAAAACAAAATAAAAATTATTTCATAAAATATTTTGAAGAATAATATAGATATAACTCACCTTTCACAGGCACGAAGCAGCCAACTTGCAATAATCCACAGAGTCAGCATAAATACTAATAGTATAGTCCCGGGACATATTGTCATTAAAGTTTTTAACACAAATCTTGTATCAAAGTGAATTCTGTTTAAAGCCCCTATACTCCTGGACGAGGCATCAGTGAAGAGTTTACTATGAAGTAACATCACACGACATATTAAATACAGTCGTAAAAACATTGGGATGGAAAGAACAACGTCAACTGGAACCACACTGGAAATTGGATGGCGATTTTCAGTTTGTGGCGTTGTCCATGTAAATGTAAAATCACCAGGAATAGGATGAATAGCACAAACTGCAATTTCTACAAATACCTGAACACCTCGCTTCACAGAAATGGCGATTCTCCAATCTTCTACACAATTATCTACAGCAAATAACTGAAATTATAAATACAAATTTCTTATTTCAATATTCAAATCTAGTTACTTTTCAATGCATCGATCAACAAATAATCTATTTATTGGAGTGTGATATAAATTCAATAATGAAAAAAATGCATGTGTATCACCATTACAAAAGTTTTTAAATATACAATAATAAAATTTGATATAACAGTTTTTAATAATAATTCATCAGTTTGATTCATTATTAGGAATATAAATAATGGGGTTTGATTAATTGACCTATGTCTATAAGAAGGTATAATTATCATTAATATACAATGCATTATTATTGAAAATACACAGAAGTGAACTATACAATACCATGGCAACTGTTTCGAAAATTGGTTAGTTTCGAAGAAAACATATTAATTTTCATGGTTAATTATAATGGTAGAGAACACCTTAACGAGATGATGATAGTAATTTTATCTTAAAGGAAATAATTGCTTCAAAATAAATTGGAGATGACAAACTGTATCAAGAAGCAATTTTTCAATTTAGTCTTATATTCTATTTTGCTATACAAAATAAAATCCATAAGATTAGTTGCATAAACAAAAAATTTTTGATCCAACTGGCTTCTATTTATTGGGCAAGATCAATGCCCAGCTGGTAGAATTGATCCTCAAGAACATAAGTTATTATGTGTTTCCTTCCACTATTTTTTGAATAATCAAATAACGGCTAAAAGAGCAATAAGTACTTTAAATATATATAATAGTAAAATATGTATATTAATTCTACAAGATTTTTATGGCATACCTCTCCAGGTGTATTATCACAAAAACAAAAATTTTTATTATTTTCTAACAAGACTAATTTCTTATCTAAATAATTTCATAAATCTAAAATATTCTAGCTTATCATGATTCCATTTTATACTCTTCAAATAAACATCATTTTCTCAATGTTATCAAAAAAGCATGCCTCCATATCATAATACACATGCTTGCAATCTTTAATTGAACTAATCTAGAATTATTTTAAGCTGTGGATGCAGAAAAATTAGAATTTAAACATGGAACTATAAGAAGAAGCAAGAATATTTTAGAAGCGAATTCATACTCATTGAACCTAATGAAAACGTAGGATGAAATTTATGAATATTCATGAAGCAATTTAAGATAATAATCAATTATCATGATTAAATTGTTAATAGTCCGATTATTCTGTCAACCTTATTGCATGCAGTATTTTTCAATTTTTCAGCTATCTAATTTTCACAAAAAACTGAACAGTTTTTGATAAATTTCAGTATAGGTCTTATGACCAATAAGAATATAGTAAATATCAAAATCTAAAATTCTCATAGCTATGTTTTTTAAATTGATACTAGTATGAGAATATTGGTATTAGTCCATTCTGTAAACCAATATACTTCTTTCAATATAGTGGTTTTTAAGGGTCCAACGCTCAGATAACTTGGTTTATATTGAACAGAATATCAAATTATATACTGGTTATGAAGTAGAAAAGCTGCATGCAGGTATGTCAGGAACAATATTTTTGGTATTATAGTGAAATGAATGAATAAGTAAGGGCTAACTTCACCAAATGGTAAATATCTAACTAACAGAGTTACTGGAAATAGAAGTTGTCGCCATTATCAGTTATATTATTTGAACCTTCTGTCATTGATTGCCAACATCTTGCAACCATACATCTATGTAATCTACCGATATTGTCGGGTTTCTACTGCTTTTGCATGTTGTCCACCGCTCTACTGACGGGATGGCCAATTCTACCAATTTTTTGTTTTTTCCTAACCAAATTTTCACAGGACATAAAATTTAAAATGGTTTATCCTTGCAACAGCTTTGACAAACCATTTTAAATGTACAGATTTGTTTTCTGGTGGATGTAAATGATGACAAATTAGCGTCTGCTTCCAGCTCAATTTTGGTTTTCTGGAAGAAATCCAATAAATATACCACATTGTTTGAGCGTTCTAATATGTCACAAAACTACTTATTAATGTTTACAGTAGATGTATATTTAACTGTTTCTCTACAATGGAAGGTCAGAATAATTCAAACTTTTACATTTTCAATCAAGCCTGAATATTGAGCTTCATTATGTGTGTATTAAATCCAATGAAGGGTCAATAAACATATATTAATTATATTTAGTATTCATTAAGTTCTACTATAATATCATGTTACTAAGTCAGTTAAAAACATAATAACAGTGTTCTAGACTCACATTGTACATTCAAAAAAATTGACAGATGTTGGCCAGCCACAGCCATTAGGCTTTTAATTTTGCAAAGTATTTTTCAATACATAACTGTTTCTGAATGTACCATGTATCTTTAATGTACCATGTATCTTAATGTACATCTATGCATGTGAATTTTAAATCTTAAATTTGAATATATCATTGACAAATATTGAAACTGTCTCTGTGGTAAAAAAGTGAATTAATTTTTAACATTTTAAAATTTCTCTTAAGTGAGCACCCCTAAATGTTCTATTGAACTCTTCCACACAATGCATAATTTCTATCATTATGAAACTTTATCTGTAGGATTGGAAGAGCTGTATTGTAAAATTAGGGTTGTTTTGCATGGTCTGACAATTTATATCTATTTCTGAGGTGGCAATGTGGTGGATAAAGAAATGCTTAAAACTAAGCTAGTGTTTCTGACTTCAGCTGACCAATATCTGTCAATTTTTTTTATCAGTAATAGTATTTGAAATGTATATTATAAATCATTAGTTTAGTTATATACATAATAAGTAACATCTTGTAATTTATTATTAGGGATCTACAAAATATCTACATGAAATTAGCATCAGTTTTGTTCCAGCCACAATGCTTCATGGTTAGGCATACCATTCTAGAAATGTACCATCAGCAGTGATCATACTTAAATTCAGTTTTTTTCATGCACCCAGACACTCTTCAGATACTTCTTACTCTGGTTTCACAAGATTTAATCATTAGCATGCTGCAGAATAACACCAAACCAGTACCAAAGTTGTTATTAGATTTCCAACCTTAGTTTTCTAACCACATCTCTCTTACCTTATTATTATCCAGACAAATCTGTTACTACTCTTTCCTCAAACATGATTAACTTATGGTAGATGGGGCACAAGGATATTGTAGAATATCCAGCAATGTCTTGATGGAATTAATAATTGTTCAGCTTTTTATAGGAAACCAACGGTACGAAATTTGGCTTTTTAGTGAAAATTCTCAAAAACTAGTGATCTTGAAATGGATCAGAGCAACTAAGTCTGTCCCTAAAATGCCAATATATCAGTCAAATATCATGTTCAAGGAATGGGCAAGTACAGATTTCTCCAGTTAACTTAAAGTCTCCTAGCTTGAACTCTGAATAGGTTATATTAATAACACTACACTAGTAAGAATCAATTAATTCATTTGGAAAAAGTTCCTGGAGATTAGAAGTTAAACAGTCTTCAGAAATCCACAGACTGCTTAAACACATTAGCGGGATGGCTAGTTGTAATCATTCGTTGTTTTCATAATTACTTTAAAAAAAAATACAATCATCTAAATCAAAAGCAGAAAATGGCAGCCAAATTCAAATTCAAACAGTAAGGCATATCTTAACAAGGGCAATAACTCATGAACAAGTTTAATCTACAAATCTATGAAGGATTGAGTTTCAATTCAAACTTACATATACAGATTCAATGGAACAATAAAAAATTCAGGATAAAGCAAAAGGTATTGTGTTACTTCTATTAAAGGGATACAGTCGTTTAAAATAATATATAACAATAAAAAATATATACCGACAGTACCTTTAAAATTAAATTTTGCAGTTGTTTTTATATGAATTGAAATAAGAATTTCAAAAAAGAACTCGGTTTCTTTATTTGCCTTCTGTTTTGATTTTGAAAGCTTTATTTTGGATAATACAGAAACTACTGTGGTCTTTGGATCATAAATAAAGATATGAATATTCAAAATCAAATTCAAAAGTTTTTGGTTAATTATTGACAAATCTCAACCAGGAAACAATTTTAAAAAGTGGTATAGTTGGCTAAAATCACATCCTGTCATCCCATTAAAAGTCAATAATTCCACGACTGTATATCTTTTAGTAACAAAACAATACAAAAACCATACCATTGATTTCCGACTACTTTCAAGCTATTAACAAAGATTTCTCCATTAAAACATAAAATATGTGAAATTCTAGAAATCTCAACTTCCCCTATAAAACTTCATCTGATTTATACTAGTACCAATTTCATTTAAAAACCAAAACAGGTCATTTACAAGTTATCACATTTCATTGCATTATTCATAGATTTCTAAAGACCCAGTATGAATTTCACATATTTTTATAGTCTAAAATTGTAAATCATTCTAAAATAGGCACACCATTTGTATTGTTAAAGAATTACATACAGACAGATTTTTTTTTAATTGTCACTTTTCTTCACAAAAATTTGTGATATTTTTCACAAATCTAGCTTTTCTGGAACATGTGTTATATAAATGAATTGGCCTCTTCACCAATTAATTTTGAATAATTGTAATTAAACATTGTATTTATAAAAAAGGATGCCAAAGAAATTCTTCCCCAATTTTGATCAAAGAATAATAAGCTTTGAGAGTTTTCATTCATATACGAAAGGAATCATAGACAAAGTTATTTCAAACGTTTATTTACGGTTAATTCTGACAAAGGGAAAATTTCTCTCTGTAAATCTGTCGTATTTAGAAGTGTTTAAATAATATTATTATGAAAAATTAATTAATCTTCTAGACCAGACAGAAGCCATGCTTGAGTGTATTTTACATCCAAATATCCAATGATTAGACTGATTCAATATTCTTTATATCAATTATTTAAGCTACAGGGGGTCTACAGGATGAAGATATAGAAATTAAAGAATGTTTTGAGACAGAGAGAATAATGTCTAACATATTACTTATGGTATTTGTCTTCAGTGATTTAATAACACTGTGTTATAATTTCTGTTATTATTACATGGCTTGTCTTAAAAGAA